GCAAGTAATCTGCTAGAAATGGTTCAAGAACTTGTGAAATTTAAGGAAGAATTGATTTCATAGCTAAAAATAATAACACAAGCATGTTGCAAACGGATAACGGTAAATTTGAAAATAATTGCTAATCAAAAATCTTATAAAGCTGTATGCTGCATATCAGAACTCAAAATTATACATACATATATATATATATTGAAGAAATCATACAGCACAATCTCTCATGCAATTGTTGATGAATGAGATGTTTGATATTTTCAAGTCCTTTTTGCATACATTTTAAAATTCCGTTCAAAAATTTTACAGATAAATTCTCTGAGATCATCAAATTTTTTGAACTAATAAATGAATAATCAACTTTTTTAGTATACTATGGCAAAAGATAAACGTATCTTTTATTGGTACAATTCGGATATAGCAAAAATTTTTGACGAGTTGAAAGTATGCAAAAAAACATGGAAATATGTCCTTTTCCCCAAAAAAAGTTTATCGTAATGATTTTTTAAGCAGAAAATGTGCTGAAATTTAGGAAAAAGATTGCTTGCATTCTATTTTGAAGAAGTGATTTCGTACTTTAAATTATCTCCCATTGAAATATAATATAATTTAAATTGAAATTATGGCGAATCATTAAGTTCGAATGATCACCAACTAATGGAAATTGAGTACAATATCGAGAATGTATTTGTGCCAGAATTCTCTTGGCATGTAGATATTTTAAAACTTGAAATCATCATTAACAGAGAATCTAAAATCTTCACGAACACGTTATGTTCAATTATTTTCTGCTTTTTTTAAAATTCATATGTATAACAATTTCATGTATACAACAATTTTTCATATGTAGAAAAATTTTAGAAAAGTTATTTTGTTAAATCAGTTTCAAAAAAAAGATAAAACCTTTTCTAAATCATTGGGTTAATTTCAACAAATTTTCCAATAAAAACAACAAAAGTTCTTCTAGAAGTATTTTTAGGTCGCCGAAATGCTGCGCAAAATTCATTAGTTTACCGTTCTAGAAGAAAAAAAATAAACTCATAACAATCAATCATTATTTTATCCAACCCAAAAAAATTGCCGACAAATGGAAGGAAAACAAAGCCTACCCGTAATTTGATTTGTTCTAGTTAATACTTTAATAATAACTATGATCATACTATTGTTTAAATGAAGATGAAAAATTTTTGAGTTTTTATGAGATGTAATGTAACAGAGTTTAAAATAAAATTTAGACTGCCCGGTCTATTAGAAAGGAGATCAAGTGCGTATAGTTGATTCATTGAGATGAATTGAGGGCAGCAGTTGAGAGAAATATGAATGAATTAAGTGGAAAGTAATTAAAATTGCAAACAAGGTGGAAGAGGTAGGGAAATTTGATTTGTTAAAATAAACAGTGAAAATGAAAAACAAAAAGTCTCATTTAAGCTTTTAAAAATCCAGAAAAAAAACAAACCTCCTTCCAATCCATCTTTTTTCTAAAAAATTATATACTACATAAAATTTCTTAACTGCTCTTTTTTATTTCTTCCTTTTTTTAAATTTCATTTAATCCGACATAACCTTAAATAAAGGTAAAAAGGAAATAAGAGAAGTTTTAATTTTGGGTTTTTATTCAATTGATTGATTGCAGTGATATCAGGTTTTTTTCAGCACAAAAAAAACTTGTTACTAACGACTGACCGATTACTCCTGCCAAACATCGCATTAAAACGATATCGCTCAATGAAGCCATTTGAATATTTAAACGAAGACCCGGAAAAGATAAAAATTTACAACTACGACAAAAACGAAATATGTTGTTTTGATTTAAAAAAAAATAAATAAATTTTGCCATCTAACACTTTCACGTGGATAGCTGAAAATGGAAGTTTACCATTTCAGCTAAACTATCATACCTAATTGGACAGAATGATGGAAGGAGTAAATGCTCTGAGAAGCTCGTAACTTCCATAATTTTAACATTTTTAAAATTTTCTGCCAGTAATAGAATGACTGCAAAAAAGAGCGGAAAAGATTATGATCTCAAGAAAAACTTCTGCAGTTTTCTCGAATTTTGTCTTTATTAGTTTTCTCTTATCCTTTAAAAAAGAACCTTAATTATTTAATTACCTAAATAATAACTGATGCTGTATTTTCTTAACCAAATTTTAACCTTCTGGAAACTTATCTCATTTCACTCAATAATTGCAAATACCACATGGCAATAGAATGTTACGATCAGTATAAAATAAATCATTTACACATAAATCTAACCTATCAATTTATAATTAATTTGGTCATAAATAAGCAACTTTTGACTAAAAGACGTGTTAGCAAGCACTGACTAATGCTAATATTCAAAATTTATGTCTAAATTTTAAAAAAAAATCATTCATAAAATTCTTGTAAGTATATGGCAACAATTTAAGATTTTTCGTTTTTTTTAAAGACGAGAAAAAACTAATACAGGTCAGATTTGAACGGGAAGAAAAGAGGAAAGGAAAGGGAAAAAAATATGTTTATGTTTACTTGCTTAGATAGTACTATAAAGTCAATTACATATTGCTAATTGAACTGATGCAAATAGATAATGCTAATCATGCAAATACTGTGTTTACAACATTGTCGATCAAACTGCTAACTGACCAGGTGTTAATGGTCAGACTCTCGAACATACTCTTGTCCATCATTTCTCCGTCCACACTTTTCACTGCTCCTTGTGCATCATTGAATAGACCGTTTTTCATCCTTAAATGCTCCAACCAACTGTTTTTCGTATTTTCAGGCTCGGCCATTCAGCAATTAAATGTTATGATGGGATGATGGTGGTACGGAAGGTGGTAGGGGGTTGGAGGTTAAAGTTTAACTTAAGAGACTTACTCTTGACTTGTTAATACTTTGATTGATTGGTACCTGACAATGTTTTAAAATATCTGAGAGTATTTTAAAAACGTCATGTATGCACATCCGTACATGACAATTGTTCTGTCAAGTCAGTATGATATCACGATGGTGTGTCACTCTGAAATTTCAGTTATCCTCTTTTTTTGCATTTAATTTTGATATATCGGAACTTGTAGTCCTGTTTCTCATCGATTGATCAGGTCAGAGCGATTATTTTTTCATAAATTTTCATTAAATGGTAATCAAAAGTTGAAATATAAAATCACTCTTGGAAAAAAGAGATAGTGTAAAAGAGAAAAAACATAAACTGTAGTTAAGATTCTTGAAGATGGGGATAGGTTTCATTTCAATTTTTGCTAAAATGATTCCAATAGCATTGTATATGTATATGTTCTCGAAGAAAGAAGTGTCTGGAGATGGTTGCAAGAGAAATGAGAATGCCACTTTAATTTATGAATTTTTATAAATTCAAGTAAGACTTGGTATGTGTTATTGTTCATAATGTTTCACTTAGCAGTATCGCTTTTTTAAAAAGCTTCGTTCTTTCCTGAAAATATATGTGCACATTCAATTAATGTGTGAAAAGCTATGATTAATCTATGTATCTCTAATTCTACTGAAATTTGTTGATGATATTTTGATAATTGATCTGAATTTTTGTCACAAATATGCTTGAAATTTTTTCTCCCACAGAGATTGGTATTTTGTTGTGATTTTCAAGAAATAAATTCTCATATTAGTTAATGGCTTTTGTTGCCTAGTTCAGTACTTTTTTTTCTTCAAATCCTTAACTGTTTCACTCTTCGTAGTATTCCTCTCAAATTTCAACATTTATTTTACTGTAAAAGACTTTTTTGATTGGTTTTTCTTTATATTTTATGGTATGTTATGGCATGCTCGTAATAAGATAATAAGCAAAAAAAAATAGATATTTTGAAATAATTTGTCACACTGGTTTGCTAACTTGAAAACTTTGGATAGAAAATCAGCGTGACAAATTCTTTCAAAATATCTATTTTTATGTATATATTTGTTTTATCTATATATCAAAATATTTATATATTTGTCAATTTGTCAATTCTTTCTCGGAAGTTTGGCAATTTTTCTAGGATAGCATTGCGATCTTTCCAAGTTTTCATCAAGTGCAATTTTTTTAATTTCTCAATTTGATTAACTGTTTGGTTTCTGCAAATATATCTAGTTTATTTCTCAATTTTAAAGTTTTTTCTGTATTTAACCTCCAAGATACTTTTTGTATTCATCGGTATTATTTTATATGGTGATTGTGTAGTTTATGATATTCAAATATTCTCATAAGTAAACTTCAAATAAAGTCTTTGATTTTAGAAAGCTGCATTTTGTAGTGTTAAGTTTGCCTAATCATTACATAATCTTTCTTTTTGGTGACAAAAATCAAATTTTAAGAAATGCTCTAAATCATTGAGGTAATTGCAAATGAGTAATTGTAAGACATATCATCCATATGAAATAAGATTTTTCAAAAAGAGTTTCAGAGGAACTTGATAGATATCCAGAGAACTGGGATTTCTTGAAATCTTTTTCTTAAATTGACAATAATTCAAAAACTTTATGAAATTGAATATATTGCATTATTGTTGTGTTCCTAGATAAATACAAAATTTGTAATTATTACTAAATCAGATTTTTTGAATTTCACTACTTTTAAATGTTTTTTGAAACCATAAATTTGATACTGTTACGATTTTTCCGGAACAATTTTCATCTTTTAAGATTTCTAACTAAAAAGGAGGTTTATGCGCTATTCTGATAGGAGTACCTCATGCAAGTTATTTTTGTTGTCTGCCACATTGTTATATTTGCTGTAATAAGGTCGGATTTCGATAGATTTATTTTTTTTTGAAAAATAAAATTATGGGACCATTTTACTTAAATTGTTGATGTTATTGCAGTCAAAGGATGGGAAAGATAAGGTGAACAGATATCATATCATCGAAGCAGTTCTTTCAAATATTTTTGCTTGCTCAATGGGGAGGAAAAAAAACAATATTGTGGATAGGAAAGAACAAAATCTCATATAAAATACGTGCAGATGCAAGCGTATTTGTACAAATAAGACGTTTTTAATAATATTATTGCAGATGTTGACAGAGTATAGTAATGAATTATCACAACAACGTGCTGGTGGTATGGAAAATTCTCAGTCAAGTTCGGGAACATGTGGGTCAGGTGGCAATAGCGGCTTATGTCGACATTTGGATGGTGCTGTTTACATATCAGCTTGCGCTACGAAAATGGATACCATTGTTTTCATGCACAAATGGAGTGTTGCACAATTTTCGGCGCAACAAGAACTATCATCACCGGGTGATTTCATTGAATCGAAGTTAGTACTAAAAGTATTATTTACAGTAGATTCAAAGTTGTTCACAAGTAAAGCTTTGTGCAGGTATAATAGCTATTAATATAAAAATTAATCGTAATTTGTACATTTCAATGCAACTTTCACTGTCGTTCAGATATTGTTCAGAAAAATTTTTGTCGCGGTATGTTTGACGCGCACATATAATTTAAATTTCTGAGTTTGCTTGAGAACTGCAGAAATCGCTTACCATTAAAGATAAATTATTAGCAGTTAAAGACTATTGGCTTATAAAGTTTCACGCCCACCATTCTTTATTTTATGTGCAGTTGACTGTCTACAGCAGGATATGTTGTTAGCCGTTTTTGATCTTTGGTCTAGAGCACCTTACAATCAAAATATTGTTTGAAAATTTTTTAGAATCTGTACGCTTAGCTCGAAATTGAGCATACTTAAGTGTTTAAACAAAATTTCAAGTTTTTGGCAATACATAGAGTGCACTGAATAAGTTAACAAATTCTTTAGCATATTTGGTTCAACGGATTATGATTATCGATTTCGACTGAAATTGTTTCCGTGCGGTAAAGACGAAGAATGTCGAGGATATCTTTCCCTATTTCTTCAAATTTTCAGTAAGTAATGATGAATCACATTAGATAAATTAGGAATTAAGTATTAGTGCTCAACGAGTAATGAAATTAATCGTAATTTACCTTCATTTTCAAAGAATTCCAGAAGAAAATTTGCTTATAATAATAAGATCTACCAACGCTGAAATTTTGACTGCACTGCTGTTGTAATTAATACAAACTTCCAAAAGTATTAACATCTATACTTTAGAATGCCCATCTGCAAAGCTCCGCTTTCGCGTAAACTTCTATATTGAAGCTGCGGATGGTCCACGAGGATGTGCATTGAATAAAAATGTTGTCACTATCAATCGTGGTGGGATTGTTACTGCATCAAAATTCTTTTCTACTGAAACTTTAAAGGTTCTTTTTTATAAAGTATTACAATACAAAACTTCATTTATTTTTCTTCGTTATGTCCGTTACGTTCAGCTAATTTCTTGATAGCTGCACTCTTAAACCGATGTCGCTTGGATTAAGAACCTAATTAGCACACAAGCAGAAAATAGCAATGGTCTTTGGTTGTTTTTAACATTTTTCATTAATCTTATTTTAATAAAAGCTCTCAGTTTTATATTATTGCAGAGTCGCGTCGCTAAATTCTTACCAGATGATGTCTTAACAGTTGGTGTGGAGTTAACCGTATACGGAGATCATAATTGTACTGATTTAGAACCTGATCTGGATGTATTTTGTGGGAATAGTGGTTCTTCGACATCCGGAATTCCCTTGGGCATTAGTGATGAAGTTAGGACGCGCCCTGACCCACATTTTATGGGTAGGTTCTGTGAATTCAATTTATAGATTATCGAATAAAATTTTTCATTTCAGTACGTCGATTGCTTTTGCTTAGCTTATGTATTTTTTTTTCCAATCCAAAATTGTCCGAGAACTTTCGACTTCAAGTATTATTACCATTTTGTGACCCTCAGAATGCGCATACTGTCTTGTGATTTAGAAGGTGTGAATCAGTCTTTATGCTCGAAAAACTCTCAGTTGTTAGTTTTCGTTACATAGTTATTTCAGGACGCGATTTGGGGCAGTTGTTGGATAGTGGCGACTTTTCAGATTTCACACTTCATGTAGGTCGGCGCTCCTTTAAATGTCACAAAGCAATCCTTTCAGCACGATCACCTTTCTTCCAGGCAATGTTCAGAGATCAGCATAATCAGGAAAGCTTGAGTGGAGAGGTCGGTTTATTTTAGTTTCGTCATATTGATCATTAGCAACATCTTTTCTCGTTCAAACAATAACTTAATTATTTAGGTAAATTTGGAAGATATAACCCCAGAAACGATGGCATGTGTTCTGGAATATATTTACAGTGATAACTGTTCGGAATCATCAAAGCGAACGATAGAAATTTTAGCTGCTGCAGACCGGTTTTTTTTTTCACTTTTAAAGCGGAAATGATTTTGTTCTTATTTTTCTAGTGCGACTTTGTGATGCATTAAATTAAACGGTTTTTTTTTTAGATTTTGCTTGGATCGTTTGAAGAATTTGTGTCAGGAAGCTCTGGTAAGAGACCTGTCACCCAACAATTTTTGTGAACGTCTTCGAGCTGCAGACATGTATAATGCATCCATCTTGAAATGGAAAATTTTGAATTTGTTGCAAAAACACCGCAACTACATTATCGATAATGAAGTACATCGCATTTTCATTCCATGTGTTCTTGTTTTTTGAAGGAGGAAGATGAAATTCATATTGCTATGGATTACGTAGTATTTACGTAGTATACGTAGGTCTTCAAATAATTTGATAGTTTTACTCAAGGTTGCGTGGTGTTAAGATTACTGCTAACTGCTCACGTATATTCCCTGTTTGTTTTACAATTTTTTGTTAAAAATCACTTCGAGACGTAAAAATTGTGTCGCTTGCCTTTGTGCTTGTAAGGAACTCTCTTTAGGACTGGGTCGCATTGGAAAATGAATGTCCGTATTTGGCAGCAACAGTTGCAAGACATATGTTATCTACCGACAGTATTGGCAATATATTATCAAGTTCCACTGCCCACATGAGTAATTCAAATCAGTATAATGAAGCAATATCGATCAAGAGACCACGACTTGGCTAATTTCATTTGCTTATTAAACATTGTTTTGAATTTCATTTGGGACGAGTTTTTAATTTTATTTGAGTCATTACAGAAAGTAATGCTGAAAGTGATGTTACGTTAAAATAGCATTATCATTTTTTAAAGTTGCAGTTGTATGAATATATTTTAGTACATATTTATTAGTGGTATAAGACGACTGCACGTGCATTTCGGACATTATAAATTACAAATTTCTACGTTAAAATGAGAAGTTGATCATGTTCTGTACATTTTGTTATTTTACATTATTTAGCAACGGATTTTAAATGTTTTATGTTTTTTATTTTCATGGAAATACCTTCATAAAAATTAGGACATTTAAATAAAGTTAAGGCAGTGAAAACAATAATGCATTACTTTTTTTCTGTAAGGCTGAGAAGATGTATTTAATAGTTAGTTTTTTAGAAAAATTTAAATTAAAACTAAATGGATGTAAAAAATTTTCCAGGTATCTAAATGTTTTTATTTTTGTGTCTCCCTGGTCAGATTTTTATCGATTTTTCTTGGTATCAAGGTAACAAAATCTTGGTGTCAAGATTTTGTTGTATATTTAAATACATTTAAGCTTCTTTGTGCTTATTGTGTGTATCATTTGATGGTCAGTCTGTCAGCGTTTCTATTTAGCGAAATTATGAACATGTATGATATTGTGTTCCTAAGAGATATGGTTACATTTGGCAAAGTTAGAAAAGCTTGAATAAGGAATCTTCAGACTTTTTTTTTGTCCCGCTTATTTTCATACTTGAACTGTTTCATCAAGAATTCAAATTAAAAAACCGTATTGGATCCTTTTTCATCTCAGGCCTCATTTCTGAAAAATTCCACTACATTTTGTTTTCTTTTCATTTCGTCTTATTCGAGCTACCTCTGACATCCTTACAAAATTTCTTAGTAGATAATTTTGTAACAAAAGTCATATAGGGGTATTATTATCCTATTTGGAAAAAAATGCACTTTCTCATAACTGTTTTTACTCAGCACTTTATTTGCTCCGCACCTTTTTTTGCGTTTTGAATTCTTTCCAGTTGCATGGGAAATTATGTGACACGGGTCTCAAAAGAGGTGTAAGGCGAATGTATTGTACGCAAGGATCATAAATCATTTATCTTTTATTTTCCTTCATAACTGTAAATAATTTATATGTATTTTGAAACTTTCCCGGTGGAAATTTTGTTCCCTTTTGCAAAAAAAAAAAAAATTGGAGATAAACCATATAAATATAGCACAAACTGCACGAAAATACAAAAAACCGAGCTGTGCAAAAAAGAAATGATGAAATGGATAATTAATTTGGATAATTAGTACTCTAAAGGTTTCATTTGCCATAAAGTCTAACATTGAGAAAAGGATATTAAAAATCTCGAGTATGTGATGCTTGGTATATACTATAGATGATGCAGCTAAAAGAAGTGACAGAAGTTTGGTGTAAAAAAGATAGATAAAGCAGATAAATTATTTGAAATTTTAATGCGTAATGTATTTAAATACTTCGCTTTAATTAGTGCTAATTTGTGCTGCATAAGTGTATCATTTACCGCCAATTTAAGCTCTGTGGTATGATTCATTGCTTTAAATTTTGTATTCCTTACATAATAACTAATGATCTATAACTTTTACACTCAAAATATATTGCTTGGTCTCTCTTTTCTTTTTTAGATTTAAATAAATATAAAAGTCTAATAATTCGCTGAAGTCTTTTTAATAAAATATCGAAAAACGATAATCATACATTTCCAAAAAATAACAAATAAAAAGTATTTAATGGTACAGTGAGAATAACAAATGAATTGAACAAAAAGTCATCTCTTCCATTTAAATCATCATTATCATTAACGCTTTCAAAGGCAAAATAAACGATATAATGAAAATATTGATGAATGTGTAATTCGGGTCAAATTGTCAAATATCCTCGCGCTATTGTCATTCATTGACCGAGGCCAAATGCATTTCATCACGATCTCTTTCAATTTCAACACATTTTAATGAATTTGAGCGAAAAAGAAATACACTCCACCACCTTTTTAATAACCAACCAACCATTCGGTGAAAAAGACTTCAATCTTCCGTACAGTTTTCACATCTGTTTCATTTTATTTTTGCAAAAAATTCTTTCCTAAATTATCAGTAATTCTTTCTTTTTCTTTTTCTTTTTCTTTTTTTTTGAATAAATCTACTTTTGGATTTTTGTTTGCACTTGATAGTATTAGGTGAAGTTAGTAAAGACTTTTTACAATAACATCTCATTTTTACAAATTTAGATGAAGGCATGGCTATATTTCTGCATTCTTGCGCTTTTATCCATAAGAAAAAGCCTAAGCGGAAAGAATGAATACGAAGGTACAAATTTGATGGATCAGAATAAGTATGATTTTTTGTTTTTGAAAATTTTAAATTTCAAGTTTTATTTCTTTATTAATACATATCTTCTGGATTGATAATAACTGATGAAAAATTTTTCGTTGTTTGCTGTAGCACCGCTTAGATATGTAAGGATTAATAGAGATTAATAGACATAAAACGGATTTGAAACGATTTTTATTAGACTGAATGATTATAATAGGATTAAAAGATGTTGATAAATAATTTAAGTTTAAGAATTTTTAAATTTCAAAGAGTTTGAAAGTTCCATTCTCCTCAAAAAAAGTGAAAATATACAGTACGGAAAAAAGGCATAGATCCGGAAGCAATTTTCCAACGGAAATTCTATCGAACAAAGCTAAAGATATGAAATATAAAGGAGACGGATACTCGAGCAATTATAAAAGAGTAAGTTAACATATTCATTCAATGAAAAACAATTTAAATTAAAAAAAAATTAGATCCAGGATTAATTTGCAAACTACTATTTTCTCTATTTCTTTACAAGGAAAATTATTGCTCAATAAATGCTATGTTTTTTTTTTCCACGTTTAAAATAGCAAAACATGAACTAAAATTGTATCATGAACTAAAGTTTAAAATAAAATTTTAGCTCTTCGCTACTGAAAATACTATGTCTATCAGTCAACAACGTGACCTGATCATTGGTAAACCGGATTTAAGTATGCAATAATTATTTGAATTAAAACATTTATCTGTGAAAATTCGAAATTTTCGTAATAAATAGCCATAATTGTTTGAAACATTTCATTGTTGCCTCAATTTTGTATGTTATGTATGTTAACTGTTTGATTTTTTTTTAGATGATTTATGTTTCCGAGTTTACAATGAATGTATTATTGTTAATGCGCAACCGTACGAACGACGATCTAACATGCAATTAGATGAGTGCAAGCAGCGATGCATGCAATCACAAAATGGCATTTATAGTTGTCGCTCATTTGTGCACGATATTACTAATAAGGTATCATTTTCAAGTTTTCATAAAAAGCTTTAATTTTATAAGTATTTTGAAAATTTGAAAACTTATGTATTTCATAATTTTATAATGTTTAATTCGAAAAGTAAATAACCTTTTTTCCATATATGTATGTTGAATAAGTTTCGTCAGTTGAAAAAATTGTAGAATATATTCTTTAATTCGAAACATAAATTTTTTTTCTTCCAGTTAAATTTAGAGGTAAGAATTCAGAAGTTCGTTTATTATACGAAATTTGAAATTTTGCGAATTAATTTATTTTTAGATTTGTGATTTTTTTGCTCATCGAGGTGATCAGCTACCAGCGAGGTAAGTTTTTCCTTTCAATATTCTTTTGCGATACATTCATATCGAGATTAGTATGCTCATATTTATTTAAACCGTAGTTTCACTACTTGCAGATTTTGAGTCTAAATTTGAGTGAATTTGAAATTTAATATCGTCTTAAACTTTCTCAGATTTTCGAAATTAATTTTACATGTGATTTTTTTTTGTAGACTGCTCAAATACTATGAACATTTATATTTGGAGCCAACTTTTGCTAATGGATGTGATTTGAAATATGCAATGGAAACAAAATCGAAAAGAACAGATTCTAAAGGCTTGTTCTTGCTCATTTATTTCAAAAAGAAAAATGAAACAAAACTTTACAATGATCAAATTAACTGAAAGTAATTTTATTGTTAATGAATAAATTCAAATTTTTTCTAGACAGAAAAGCAAGTGATACAATGCGATTGAATGATTTAGCAAAACGAGATGCAAATCAAGAAATTTGTAAAGAAGGGAAAGTTATTAAGTATTTGCGAACTGAAGGATTTAAGCTTGACAGCGCTAATCGGATAGATTTAAGAGCTTATAATTTGGATGCATGCATCGATGCATGTACCAACAATATGGTATGTTCATTTCAATTTTCAAGTTCCACACATTCTAGTTAAACATTCCTTCAATTAAATTTAATACCTTGGGCAAAATTAAAATGTATTGTTTGAAAAGTAAAACAAAACTTCTTAATTGAACAATCAACTCAATCATCTATTTAACTAATTAGATCCAAAAAATTTGTTCAAAAAGAAAGTTCTGCTTATACAAAAAAAACAAATCTCAATTATTAATATTTTCGTAAAAATTTTAATTCTAAAAAGAATTAATTATTGCTTTGTTCTATTACAAAAAATGCGTGGAATGAATTAAAGTGAAATTTATAGGATGATAAAGGACATCCTTTTGCATGTCACTCTTTCGATTATAGCGAGAGTGGTTGCAGTTTATTTGGCGAAGCAGCAACACTTCGAGGTACCACACAGCTGAAACAAAATTCCGATGCTAATTATTATGAAAAAATTTGTGTAGATAATAATTTAATGAGGTAATTATTCCAACATTTATCATATTTGGATACTATCTTTTAAAATGTCACGCTCAAAAATAACTCTTTCATTTTTTTTCTAATCTTTAAATTTAAATTTCAAAAATATGTTTTTTTTTTCAGCAGTGAATGTCAAAGCATAAATCGATTTCCACAGATGATATTAGTTGGATTTGCGGAAGCAGTTATGACAACACAATCATTTATTGGATGCTTCGAAAATTGCTTAAAATCACGAAAATTATTTGCAATGAATTGTACCAGTGCTGTTTACTTCTATGAGGTAAAAGAGTGTTGCAATTTTTTCAAAATTTCAAAAAAAGCAAACAAACATAAAAAAGTGAACAAGTAAACACAAACACATATCTGTTCATTCATTTCAACATAATTTTACAATGTATGATGGAAATATACTATAATATAAAATAACGGAGTATTATCAAATGAAAATGAAAATTTCTGTTTTTATTTTCAGGAATTGGAGCAAAATTGCATCCTAAATAGTGAAAATAGACAAACGCAAAAGAATCTTTTTGTGGAAGAAAATGCTGATATTGTGGATTATTTCGAAATAAATTGTCCATTAAGAAAACGGAAGAAAATAATTGATGATTTAGTATTTAAAAGTTAATTGATAATAAATTATCTGACAATTTTTAAATGTTAATTCAACCTTTTCTTTTTCCTTTCCAATTTTTAAATCAAATTAAAAAACATTTTCTCCTTTGTATTGAGGATAAAATTTAAAAAAAATTTTTCGACAGAAATTTCTTGAGATTTTCTTTTTTTTGTGTCATTTAATGGACACAAAGATTGATGTTTCGGTTGATTTTTTTCCTATTTCCTTGAATTTGATGAATGAATTGCTTCTGCTATTGCTTTTCTAGTATTTTACCAATTGATCTCAATCGATCGAATAATCTTGAAGAAGGAATGAGAGATGCATGAAAGTTATATTTGAAATATTATTAGAATATTTTATTTCATGAATTGAAAGCTCTTTCATGATATTCATAAAAAAGATACTTAAAGAATATGACTTTTTTTGAAATGCGATATACAACAATCAGTGGAATACGTTAGTCACAATGTTAGTTTTAAAGCAGCGTACGTCGTGATTTGTATCCTTTACTGCTATCGTCAGGATTTTCAAAATCGCTTTTTCCGAATCGATCATTTTCGTCATCGCTCTTAGATTGTACCTCTTCCGTTTTGCTTTCTCTATCATCATTTCTTACAGAAGCAGGTCGTAAATGATGTTCACGTGGTGGACATGGACAGTACTAAAATTGCTAGATTTCATAGACTATAAAATTTAATCCACAGAAAAACCATATAAATTGAATTGTTATGCATTTAACTTTTGAAAGAATTTTAAAATCAAATTTAAAAATAAATTATAATGAGCAAAAAGTTTATTTTGTTTTTTTGTCTTAAAGTCAGTTGAACTAACCTCAGCATCTTTACCGGAATTTCCAGGTGGACCTTGTGGACCTTCTTCGCCATCACTTCCCTGTGGTCCTTGAAAGCCTGGCTGTCCTTTAGGCCCTTGAGGACCTGGTTCGCCTGGTGGTGCATCTTTACCCCTATCTCCAGGTGGTCCTTCTGGACCTTGATCACCTGGTGGACCACGATTGCCTTTTCGTCCAATAACTTTTTCAGCATCAGCACCCTTTTCTCCTGGCTCTCCTGGCTTACCATCCAATCCTGCAAATTAAATCCAGTACTGCTAGAAATTAACATCTTGAAATTTTGCAGAAATATCAAATATGGAAAAAAACAAATACCTGGTGGTCCTGGTGGACCAATATCGCCTGGTGGTCCTGGGTTTCCGTCACGGCCAGAAAAACCTGGTGCACCTTTTGGTCCACGTTGTCCACGGATACCTGGACGACCGGGTAGTCCTGGCGGACCAGGTGGACCTTCCGGACAATTGAAGCATCCAGAGGGACCTTCTTGTTGAACATCTTCTGCATCAATTCCATCTATACCATCTTTACCAGGGATTCCATCTTCGCCATCAACACCTTTTTCACCTTTTGGTCCCGGTGGACCCGGTGGACAAGTGTTTTCCAAGTTGCACACTGAAATTTTTGAATGAAATCTCTTAAAAAAAGTTCAATTCTAACAAATATGACGATTTCATCAAGTCTTCTATCAACTCAAGTTTCTATCAACTTAAAGCTCATATTTAACTAGTTTAAAAATATTTTAAAAATATGTATTTTATAATCTGTTTCAAAATAATATATTGCAAAATTCTTTCAATTTCGGAACTTTCTAATAAATAGTTTAAGAACATTTGATAAGGGAAAATTTCAACTTCAAATCGATATAAATTTCAAAATTAGAAAAAGAATTGAAAAATGGTAATATAAAACACATACTACACCATCCATTTTTCGGAAAACCTGGAGGTATGAAAGAACCGCTGAATGGTTGAAATTGCTGTCCAGATTGACTTCCGGAATTGCCATAGCGAGCCGATGAGATAAAAGTTCCAGTAGCAGGTGGCTTCCCATGAATGTTATTGTCGACATCCGTCGTTACTGGTGCACTGCCTGGTGCATGACCTTTTGAATGAATTTCGGTATCGGTTTCTTGCTCATCATTATAGTTTACTTTACTGGCCGCCACTTCAATCATTGTTTTGTAAAATTTTATGTATAGTAGACATTTGAGTAAAAAATATTATATTAATGCAAAATATTTATTAGAAAAATTTCAGTTTTAAAACTGAATTACACTTTTAAGAGAAGAAAATTGAGCATTTAAAAATGAAAGCACAGTCTTATTTTTTGCTATCACTTGTTTTACTTTTATCATAAATGCTTTAAATAACTAAATACCTTTCTTTTTTTGAATTTTTAACATTGAAATATTATTTTTTGAAGATTGCACAAAGATCACATTTTTTCTCAACAGAACATTTCTTTCCGTTTCACTTTTACCTTTTCGTTACTTATTATAAAAAGAATAAAAACAAAAAGATAACCTTCTTGCGGATTATTATATCGTTCGTTGACAATCGTTGATGGTATATTGTTATCATAATTTCCACCATTACTACTGTAACTGCTACCGCTTGTTGAGCTACCATAATTGTTACCACTATTATCGCTCAGTGGATTACTGTAACCGTTACTTGTAGCACCGCTAGAATTATCGTAACCATCACCGCTACCACTATCACTTGTTTTACTTTTATCATAAATGCTATTGTAGCTGCTAGCCTGACGACGTAAACGATTTGATGGTGTACCAGCGCCAAGACCAATCATTTCTTTCCATAAATCATCCGTTTTAACCTAAATGAAAGTAATCAATTGCTTTTTTTGTTATTGTTCCAACATTTTCTGATATCGAAAAAATTTTAATTAGCAATTGCAGTTAAATTTTTAAAAAAAGTTTTTTTATTTAACCTTAAAAGAAATAATTTCCGAGTCTATTTCGGTCCAAATTGATGTGACATCTTTGTGTATTGCTGCGATTGCAACTAAACAAATGAGAAGTGTTGCACCGGAAAAGACAATTGCTCCAAGTGTTGCATTTTCTACCGACATATTCACCTGCTTATTTTAATTTTTTTTAATTTATGAAAAATTTATTTGCTTTCAAATATCTTAATAAATTAATTTGTAAATTAAATAATTTAGCAACAATTGGAAAAACTTATCAGCAGATTATCATTATCAATTATCATTCTACTAATTACTATAATCACAATCACAAAACATTATCATTATCACTTAGCTGTATAATCATTAGATTATTATACTAATTAATGCTATTAATATAGTTATAATAGAATTAGCAATTGAACAGATGCAGATTACATTTTAAAAAAAATGAAGTAGAATAAAAAGAATGTAGCATAAATTGATATATGAAATTTATTTCTTATTATACCTCTATATATTTATTCAACAGAGTGTTTAAGATAATTTACTTAAAATAATACCTATTATCTTAAGTAATACTGTCGCATGTGTAATTACTAGTCATTATGCTTAAATGGCTGAGTTGATGGATAACTTTCTGACGAATCAGAATATCATTGTAAAAAATGCATTTATGTGTATGTGTGTGCATGTGTGTGTGTGTGTGTGTGTATGTCAATACCAAAAAAATTGTTCGTAAGAAAAGATAAAAGAAAATAGGTACAAAGAAATCGGAAAGAATTGGTTAATTTGGATTAAATGGGACGCTTTTATAGGAATAACGAATCCACCCCTGTCACAAATCATTTTTTCAAATGTCCACTGTTAGACAATACACACAAAAATGTTTGTTTGGTGCAGCAAATTTTTTCCTTCTTTATCGATACATCTGTAAATTTTACCGAAAATGAAGTCTTTCATCTTTAGCAATACAATATATAAATTGCTAGACGACAGCAACGAGACACTAAAAATTTTTATTTGCAATTCCATTATCTTGATCTAGACAACAAAACGAGATGTTGCATTGATTATTTACAATATCAATCATTTGGATGGACGCTCCAAATCTTAGAACACAAAAACTACCATTTATTTTATTAAATTAATTTGATAAACAAATAGAAATCCTCTACTTCTTGCTCAAAACTATCGTTATTTTTGAGACTTTTTCTGATGAAATTAAAATTTAACAAAATATGCACATACGCGAAATCATATGATCACAAATTCTTCCTATCGATTTTAATATCATTTATCCTTAGTATTGTCGTTTCACGACTCATCCCTGAAAAAAGTAAAAAAAGTCAATCCATAAATTTGAAATTTCAAGCAATTTTTTTAATTTCATGAGCGGAATGGTTTATTTATAAAACGGATAAAATTTGTCGACAATAATCCTAAATTCTCATTGTATGAGAACTTACAGTTAAGATTTCGCACTTTTGAATGATTAATCATCAGATATCTAAGTTGCGGATAAGATGTCGTTTTTTCAATAACAGTAGCATTAACTGTTACTGTTGGTGAATGTATCAGTGGTCGACCAAATAGTGTGAAATTTTTACCGCCAACTGCTAAAATCTAAAAATGAGAATATTTTATCAAGATTTCTGGACAATTTTGGTCACATTCTATTCATCAAAAACAAATTTAAATATTGAAGACTTTATGTAAAATGCATGCAATTTAGAAATAATCACAAATTGGGTCAAATATCTTACTATTATAAAACGTTATTATTTATTCTTAATATTTCAATATCAAAACAATTCCTGTTTTTTAATGCAAAAGTAATACGAGTCGGAAAATTAATTGAATAAAATTAGTAATAAGAAGAGATGCAATGTATCAATAAACAGGATAAAACATAACAATGAATTTTTCTTTTTATACTCCCAAAAGTCTTCCAAATCTCCCAAATGGAATTGTTTAGATCTCCCAAAAGTAAATTGTTTACGTCTGTCCACGCTTTAGAAGCATATAAATTTAAAGTTTTGAAAAGCAACCTTCTCTAATTTAATTTTGTCGCCCACATCTAAAGGTACATTATCGTATAAAACAATTAAATCATTCTCCGATACTTTGAATTGACGTCTATTAATATATACAACGGCGAAAAGACGGGCATCTTTTTGCCTCCATTCTTGTTCGATAGCATTCACGACCTTAAAAAAAATATTCAAACTATTAATTAATGTGATGTTAATAAAGATTGTAAAACTACGCTTAAAGCAAAATTAAAAATTCACAGTGATCAAAACTCGATTTTAAATGAACATTTATCTGTACATGAATTGTTATAATGACAGCAAAAGAGAATTACCTTCTCCATTTTATGTGTACCAACAATCTCTGCTCTGATAGCCGTACTTGCCTGCCTTAGAAGAACTTTGCAAGATCCAAACACAGTAATGACCATGACTGAAATTTTAAAAAGTTAATAGATCGTCTAGATCATTAAGTGCATCAGCTTCTTCACTATTTTTATGTCATATATTATTACGTATTTACGTGCAATATGAATATTTATATAACAAACATGAAGAGAGCTTCTTAACATATATTTGTAACACTGAAAACAGATTAACCATTGCCACCAACAAGAAAATCACCTCTATTTCAAACAGAGGCTTGATGTAAAACATCTATGCTTACAAGTATATATATTTTTATAAATTTTACATTTTTTTTTTTTGTAAAATACATTTCTCTCATTAAACTAATATAATCTTAGCACAACCATGCGATATATTTTCTTGTCATCAACTCGTATATATAAAACATCAAATATAAGTGATTTCTAGATTTTATTAAATTTTCGAAAAGTACATACAAATTAAATTTTCAAAAATATCGACAAATTAAATTCTCGGAAAATAAGAACAAGAAATATCGAATCATAAACTAACAACTTATAAAGAAACAATAAAAACTGTTGGCAAATGTATCTTCCTGAGCATAGAAAGCATAAAATAAATGACAGACAATCTAAAGCCACAGGTTTGGCAGGTAGAGCCCGCATCATGCATTATCCAGTTTCCTGTCTTACTATACTAAAATGAGCTCCCCGGATCAAGATTTCGATGAGTTTTGAAAATTTTAATCAAGTGCAAAACAATAATATGCATAATTTCCAAACGAGCAGAAATAATTAGCTTGCTTTTATTACAAAAGCTTTTAAAGGATTTTGCTTAAGAGATAAATTTTAAATTTCTGGTTTCAGGAATGTCATAGTATGGACTCAAAAAACATAGGAAGTCGATAACAATACAGATATGTCTAATTTTACAATTAATGATACAGTTTTGAATTTCTGACAACATAATAAAAAAACGCATAAACAATTTAAAAGTGAATTAAGCAACTTGGTATAGATGATAAATTCCATTCCTTACAAAGGTTTTGCTATCATTTTTAAAAGCCCAAAGTACAACAAAGATTTCGAAAAAAACTAATATAAACTATATACATATATAGCTATTCTATTTAGGTTCCTGTTTCTTTGTAAAAACTGATCGACCAAGACCAGCTTCTTGTTCTAGTAATTTATTGTAAAACAAGGTAAATGATTTTTTTTCCATGTCGGTGAGCGATGACAGAAGACTCTCATTGTCTGTACCAACACCAAGTAATGTTAGCTGTCTGTCTAGCTCACGTTCCTCAGCTGATTGGTATTCCGAAGCGCATGCGTTTTCTACTTTTTCTAAGTAATTGTTAACATTATCATCATCATCATCTGAATCCATCATATGATCAGAACTATCTAAAATGTATGATAAACAAGCAAAAAGTTCAAAAGAATGAAAAAAAAACGATGCAGAAACATGAAACAAATTCCAAAAAAAACCACTACTTCTACTTTATATAAAATACAACTATAATTACTCTAACTAAAAATGTACAGTTAAATCACTGTCTGATTTACATGTCAAAATTCCATCATTAAATGTGGTCGAAAGTTGTCCACAATTTTTCTTATATATATACAGTCATCGCTTTTCTTATCCGTTTTGTTTAATATGACACTTCGTCACATTTACATAACCATATAAATAAAAATACTTTATTCTTTTTTCTAAATATAATACTTTTCAGATATGAATTTAGAGTATAAATTCTTACGTAAAAAAAGAAAATCAAAGTACCTGGAATTTCCATATCTATCGGGAAATCTTCTACAGCCTGTTCATTCATAAATTCTTCAAAAGTTTTTGGAGACTTTTGTGCATCACCCTTGCAACGCAATTCTTCTTCGACACATTCACGATAAAACGATTCTGAACATTCCCGATGTTGTTCACTTCGATAGCACTTTACAGAGCAATATGCGAGAGCGCATCTTGGACAAATATTTAAGCTATCCAATGAACCGCAGCACAAGCATGATATTCTTTCCTCCTGCATTTTCGATTCTATAAATTAGATAAAAATCTTAAGAGACTCTGGTTCCTAAAACGTCATCAAAAACCAGTAATTATAATGATTAGACTTTTTTGAGAAAAATTTTGATCTCCTTCATCGTTTATATAACCAAACAGTTTAATAATTGATCAAAGTGATCAAATGAATGATCCTACACACATTACCATGTTTAAGAATTCTTTCAAGATCAATAGCGACAGATCAAGACACTAGTGCAGCCATTAATTTAATTTGGATATATGAAACTTCAACATACTTGCAGACTACTATGATATAAAAACTTCATATCGCAACACATGACAGCAAGAGAAAAAAAACCATACAAAATAGCAAACAACTTCGAAAATCTTACTCGCACCACTGCTACGTACAAATTACAGATTGTATACTAACTTTTTTTCAGGATGCTAAAAAAACCTCTTGAGTCATCCTTCAAATAAAATCCAAACGGACTTCTAATTTCTTGACGGGACACTATACCGCTGACCTTATGTCGTATAAAAATAGAAGTCCCAGCGGGTGGTAAGATGAATCTCTTCATTTAAAGAATTACGTGAACTAATTTACACGGTAAAATGAGAAAAACAGAATCGAAGGACATTTTACTGTTTACAAATAACAAGTACGGCATAAGAATACATGGAAAATCACATATCACTAATGAGGTCGTTGAAAAAATTTGATGATTTTGACACTTTTTTAGATGAAATATCATTCGATTGTAATATCGGTATCTAAAAAAGAATAAAAGTTTTAGTTAAAAGTTCATGTCATGAAAAATATAGAAATACCTTTTAGAAAATGAAAAACTATCATTAACAAAATCAACTAACCATGTTTAGTAATTCCGGCAAACGCCAAAATTTAATAGTTGATTCCAACCAACCGACACTTAAAAGACATTCTCGATCACAAGTAATTAATAACTGCTGTACGCCACCGACATGCAAACCAATACTACCCATACTTTTATTTGGATTCAAATGAGTTACCCTAAAAGTGTTGCACAAAAATAAAAACAATGGAAATAAAGCAGTAGAAATCGAATTTATAAAAAAAAGGAATTGTAAAAGTATGCTTCCTATGCAATTTTTGTGAATTGAAAAATCTAGATCTAAAGATGAAATGCAATCTGCTAACCTTAACTGATCATCTTCATTTGAACCAGTTAACAAAACACCATGTCTAAGAAGCTGCACAGTGTCAATTCCCAATGGATGATCTGTCTTAATCCTTTCCAAGAGATTACCATACTCTTTTGTCTTGAAAACTTCTAAATAACCATCACCACTGCCAATGTAACAATATCTAGAATTGAGGAATATATTTAGTTGTTAAAATCATCAGAAATAAGTAAAACTTTACATAGTTTTTTCCAATTGAATCAATGAATTGAGTCAATGAATTTAATTAGATCTATTAAGTAAAAATTGGAAATATTAACTTATGGGTAACAGCCAAACATAGAAGTTCACTATGCATCGGTTCCGATCTAACCAATATTTTCTGCCTCCGGAAATCATATGCTCCAAGAGTTCCATCTGAACTAGCTGCTAATAAAGCATTTCCAGCAATGCCGAAACCATTTATAATATCTTCCTGTTCATTGAAACAGCTGACCAGTGGCTTCTTGGCCCGTAAATCCCATGACCTTATCTTAATGGACAGAAAATTTGGATATGTTCACAAATATTTTTACAAAAGTGATATTTTCACAAATATTCTTACGAAAAAAATAGGAGGGTCTCAGTTGTTGAGTGGTCAAAATAAGGAGATTATATGACTAAATTTCAATTAAGAAATCGTATTTAATAAAAATAACCATTTTTTAAGAAAAGTGATGTGGGCTCACTGATCAAACTGATGCTAAGATTGACGAGTCATTACTGTTGCCTTTTTCATCGACTCCACTTTTATTTAACTTAAAAAAGTGGTATGAAATAATTTACTTCACCAAATTCATCGCCTGTCACGATTTGTTGATGTTTCATTGACGCATCTGGCAAAACAAACATTGCGCTAAGCTTATGATCATGACTTTTCTGAATGCACCGTATCCTTAATAGGAAAACTTCAAAAATTTAACTTCACCTCCTTCTGAACACTTCGTCTTTTGAAGCTCAAAGTTGCTCTTTCTTCTCCTTTTGAGATTTCAAAAAAAAAACAGTGAATACACTCGCAGAAAAGTGTGCACAATGTAAACGATGTGAAACCTTAATTGAATCATATTTGACTAACCTTTTATTTGCCTCAACATTATAAACACATAGTGCTCGATTTTCACAAACTGCAAACAACTGCTCGCCATTATTGGAGAAGGAAAGTTCTCGCACAGCTCTTTTCAGTTTTCTCGTGGCTAAAATCTGAAAAGAATTTTGAAGCATATCATTTAAGAATAATAACGAATCTTCACAAATATCTGCCACAGAATAATCGATTGTTTATCCAATTTTACTTTAATATACCTTTCACCGTAATATAATTTTAATAGAAAATAATACACGTAATCATAACCTCAATTTTCGCTTCCGATAAATTGAAATTGCAAAATCTGATGGAACCATCTATGAATCCAATTGCAAGTCGATTGCCTAGTGAAGGATGAAGTGCAACTCGTACAGGTTTATCTGTGCCGAAGTCTTTCTCCATTTCTAATTCATTAAATATTAACAACAAAGTTATTTCGAAAAAAACAAAATAAGAGAAATATGGAAATCCGGTATGTGAAAAGATTCTAGCAGCGTATTTCTGAATGGAAAAAATATATTTCTGAACTGAATTGAACATATTGCTAGAAAAAGTAGAAAATGAAATGCAAGGAGTGCAACCCGCTTTTCTTCATAATTTGAGATATCCCGTCAATTTGTCATGAACACATACAAGAATGAAATATGACTTTTCTCTCTGTGTGTCGATGACATTCCCTAAAACATATTCATAACAGACCACAATGCCACAGCGTCAAATCATCAATCTTCAATGAATTTTTGTACAAATTACTGGTGCAATTTTACAGAGTCTTCGTACTTTACCTGACCGGTTACTTCATTTACCTGTCCGATTGATTCACACAAGCTAGCATTATAATATGAGAATGACTCTTTTATTGTCTGGACTGTTTTTGCTTTTGTTGAAGTTTACATGAGGTCAACTTTTGTACTTATTCACACGAGTATATATACAGTTCATCATCCCATTAAACAACTGCTTTTTCTTTGAGAACAACAGATCTGTCATAATACCGAAAGTGAGTCCTCCTATGGAATCCGGAAACGATGCAGAAATTTGGAAGGAAAGGTTTGCTAGTTTCCTACCAGAGGTAGGTACTATTTATTGCTAGCGAACAATGTAGTTTTTTATTTTGTTTAATTCTGCTTTTAAGATTTCAAATTCAGCTAATATTATTGAGAGATCATTTTCTCTGAACTCTACTGAAGTAATGAGTCAGAAGTAGTGTTTCAAATAGTCCGAGATTGACCAATCAGATCTCTATAAGACTGTCGCGTGAGTTACTTTATATGTTTAGTAAGGACGTCTTGCTTAACCACTTCTCTGTTCATTTGTAATGCAGAGTTGAGTAAGATTAAAAGACCAGCTTGCTTGTTATTAGATTTAGATGAGGGTGAGGGAATATTTACAGGATTTGGCTGAGGAGTTAATAAAAATTGAAGCATTTTCTGTCGACAAAACAGACAAACGTATTGTAACCGAGTCTTTAAATTGCGTACTTTCCGTAAGTTTATCGAATTTTATTTTTTCCAATTTCAAAAAATTTCCTAAAGACTAATTGACTCTTCTATATTATTGTGCCAAATAATATTGATTTTTAGGGATTTGTAAACTTGTTGTCCAATACAGAAAAGATCGGTCCGAAAAGGTTGAAAGAATTGAATTCTGGCTTTTTTCGACACAGAGATTTGTACATCTTGATCTTAAAGAAGATCATTGCTAGGATACCTGTAAGTTTATAACGCTTTAATATTTCAAAGTTGGCTTTCTTTGCAATTTTTGTAACTTTTCCAGGATTTACATGAGGAAGAACAGTTTTGGAACATGTATTATTTTTTGCGATATCTTCCCCTTCCATCCAAAAAACTGCATACTGCTTTTTACGAAACAAAGGGTAATTCTTTGAAATTGATTTTTCTTGTTTTTCCCTGAATCCATAAATTTTTATTTTCTTCTTTTAAAAGCTTCATTCATCTAATCATGACCTATAAATTTCAGCCAATATCATAAGTAGACACTGGAAAGTTGGAAAAGCGAAACGATACTATCAAGAAGCTTGGTTACTGTTAGTGAAGCATGAGGTATGCTAATAGTTTTTGAAAATAACAAATACCACTTTGTTTTTCTAAATCACTTTCAGTTTTTCAAGAAGGTCCGTCATTTAATTGATATCAGAAGTACTTATAAGTTCGATGATACTTGTCATTTAGTGAACACTTGTAAAAAATCGAGAATTTAAAATTGAGTAGGCAAATGAGGGGAATTTAGAGAAGATAAGCTAATTATTGATTGTATATAATAAGTTTGATTTTTTAAGCTTCCCAAGCCCTTGTTGAAAAAGATGGTGCCATATTTGAGCGAGCATGCGATCGATTCATTCAGAGAGCCATTTCTTATTGGCGACTTTTTATTCCGTATTTTCAAAATGGGCGAAGTTTTTGCAATACTTTCTCTGGCTGGCATTTTCAAATTAGTTGTGAAATATAACTTGTAAGTTCATAAAATTCACTTTTTTTCGTGTTTGCTTTTGTGGATTTAATTTTTGCAAAATCTATCAGTTACTTTTGATGATTAATTTCTTAATGCAACATACCAGTCAGAGCTTTATGACTTTTCTTTCTTTTTGCGAAGCTTAAGAAAGGCGTGAAATTCGTGTTAATGATGAATTGTATTAAACGGAAATTTTAATTTAGTTTTATACTTATATTTGAATAATTTTTAGCGAGTTTCCAAACTTTTATCAGTGCGCTTACGGGTTAATAACACCAGTTGTATGTTATCTAAATTATCGAGAAAAGTTTTTTGTTCTTCTGGATACTTTTCTGTCATCATCGTAAGTTACTTCATGCGTTTTGAAGCTCAGCGAACTCTATATTTTTCTTTCAGGACAACTACTCATTTTCTTATTATTTCCATCATATGTTTTTTTATGTGGTTAAGAAAATTTTTTCTTGCACGTGCGAATTTTCAGACATCTTCCGATATACATTGTTGCTGCTTTTGTAAAACGTTTGTCTTGGCTGACTCTTTTTGCACCTGTTTCATGTCAGGAACCTCTCTGTGCTTTAATAAGAAATTTGATAATACGACACAAGGATGTGGAATTTCTGGTGCACAGAGATAATCCAGGTGACGTCTTTTTTTTCGATTTGATTGCTTGTTCTCGATTACATGAGCAATATATCCGCATTTTTTAGACAGATATATTTTTTAGGAATGTTTAGGCGATGTAATTTTGCAGACCTGCAGTTTTTATAAATATCCGAAAATTTTAATTTTTATAGAAACATTTTCTGATGATCCTTATGACGAAAAACAAATGGATCTACAAAAATGTGGAGCTATGAAGAGCTCACTGTGGGAAATCAAGGTTTGCTGCGTTTTAGTGTGTTTCAATTTTTTTATTTAAATATCAAGAAACAATGCAGTAACGGAGTCTTCTTTGACTTTACGGTTTTTGTTCATTAAATTTTAATTGTTCATTAATTTTTACAGGCTTTGCAGCGGCATTGGTTTATAGATATAGCGAAAAGGGCAAATTTCGTTGACAAAGAGATGCAGAGGATGGAGTCGTTTGTACGCTGGAAGGATGACTACCAGTATTTTACGAAATTATTGTCCAGAAAATTTGGAAGTGACCTCCTGAAATATAAGGAAGAAGAAAAATTCCTAAGAAATCAGGCTTGTTTTATTTTGAAAGATTGGTTTAAAAGAAAACATTAGAAGCTAACTAAAAATCTACATTGCAAGTCTCATTTTAAGGAAGTTGTTTTCGTTTCCTTTATACACAGTAATCTGTAACTGATTCAGTTAAGTATAGCAACCCTTGACAAATAATTTATTTTTAAGCTGATTGAAATGTGTTGTGAAATTGACAGTATTTGGCAAAAATGTGATGTTAAAAATTCAGGATCAGGAATCTTCTGATGACGATTCGCGGGAAAATAATGCTCATCCAGTTAAAAAGCGACCGAAATTACGTAGGGATATAAAAGATTGTGACTATGTGATTGCAATTAATAATATGGAACCATCAGTTCATCTTTTTAATGATGTTTTCAAGACATAGAGTTTTATTTAACACCTTATCTCTAGATCGACTACCAGAAGCATCAAGGGCCATCCAAATTTCATTATATTTCTATAAATTAACTTTTGTGCTAACAAGTATGACTCAATAAAGGTGCTATTATTGATCAAATTGCAACTGTTTTACTCATTACTATTATTGTTGATTTATTTTCTCAATAAATAAATTTAACTGTTCCCTTTTTTCTTGTCAGTTTTTCAGAAAATGTGGATGTCGAAGTTTTAAACTGTGAATTATCTTTCGTAAGTAGTAAAGTTTAAGTGATTGCAGTTTTTCAGCATGTGTAGATGTTTTTCTGAAAATAGAAAGAGCAAATTTCGCAGTGAAATCTTACAAATGTTCTCATTTAAGATAGCTGACACTAAAGTTTCGGTTTGAACTGGTGAAAAGAACCCGGTGCTATGTTTGCATTGGGATTTAATATTTCTTTCCAAGAATTTAATTGATTCTTTAAGCTTGCAATCACGATCGTAGTTTTATCTGAATCGAGAGTAGTTCGAGATCAAAGTTGCAATTCCAGTCACTTTATGTCATCAGCTCAATTGATTCGGGTTCTTTCCTTATTTGGAAGAAATCCACTGCGTTACAGCGCATTGTGCTTTTGCCAGAATACTTCAGAAATCCCAACAACTTCGGAAGAATTAGCTTTATGGAAGATCGAAAGAAGCAATCCATTCATCGAAGTCCCTCAGGCTTGGGTCACAACATTGGCAGAAAAAAAGGTTTTCTCCAGTATAAAATTTGTTTAGATTTAAGATGGCTTAAAGTGAGTCTTCTTTGAACGAAGTATGTAATCATTATTGTACACAACTTATCAGGTTTTTTTTTGAACAGTTATGATTTATAGGAATCTCGAGTGGATTTAATTAGTTTACATCCAAATATTTTCCGAACTGTGCCAAGGATTGATTTGCTGCATCGTAATATCACTTGGCAAGAGAATTATCGAAATTTAGCAATTACGAAGCAATTATCTAAGAAAGAAATGCCCGGTGGTGGACATAAGCCATGGCCGCAAAAAAAAACTGGTCGACATCACGCCGGTTCAATTAGATCTCCTCATTTTCGATTGGGAGGGTGCGTTCTTAACAGTGTATTTAATAGTTTTCAGCAGTCAGAAATATGCACTTTGTTCATATTTCATTATCAACTCTCCAACATCTTTCTTCTAAAGTACATTGTTTTTAGTTTTGCAAATGGAATACGCGGACCTAAGACATGGTTTTACATTTTGCCCGATGCGATTAGGTTGGAAGGCTTGTGTGTAGCAGTAACCATTAAACATGTGCAGAATGATTTAGTGATCGTTGATGACTTCGCTAGCTTGCCGAGTGATGATGCGCAATTTATACATGACCTCGCGGACTCCAGAAATTGGGGTTATTCAGTATTATTTATCAACGATAGTTCCGAAGTAAACGAATTGACTTTATTTTTTCCTTTAAATTTCAAATTCATTAGCTAAAATATTGTTATTTCATTTTAATAAGTTTTTTCATTCTGCAGCCATATATATAACATTGATTGTCACGTAATTCGAGAATTATCTTTAAGCAAAACAAAGTCAAAAAGGCTACAATAGTATCAGGCTAGTTAATGAATGCACTGTAATACATTTTATAATTTCTTTATGGCGCGACAAGCTCATCTTTATCAATATTCAGGTACCTGAGAATCTGGCAAAGGTATGCGACGAAATACCGACATTCAACGTTATGCCAGTTTATGGAGTAAACTGTTTTAGTTTGGTAAAGCACGACACCGTAGTATTTTCTCTATCAGCTCTCCAACTATTCCAGTCTCGTATACTTTTTCACAAAAATCGTGCACAGACATTGCAGAAAAAATACCGTTATATTGATTACAAAAGGACTATCATGAATGAAGCGGAAAAAGAAGTTGATCCAACTCATGTACCATATATTTGACACATTTTGAAGGAACTCTATTTTCATTGAATTCTGTCCTCACAATTTATTAAATTATTGTTGAAAGTCGTTGCTATTCAATAAAAAATTAGTGTATGATACTTTTTTGATCTCTTGTTGGAGTTTCCACGTTTCCGTATTTGGAAGGGTTGTGATGTCAAAGCATAAACAAAAATTGGCATTTCCCAACCGAAGAACTGATTCCTTCAACTTTTATTAAATATTAAGCTTTTACAGGATATCTGATAAATATGAATAGCAGATGAATTGATAGAACTATCATACCGCTAGAGAAGGAAGAATTTCTTCGAAATCTTTTTGGCTATATAACTCCAATCTCTTTCCATATTATAGCAGAGACAATTTGCATAGGGGAGTTAATTTGTTTAGTGCTTCGAAGTTAATGCACATTTGCACTTCATTAAATCGGATCAATCTTGCAATTTTGGGGAGCAGCAATTTTTAAGCTTAGAAAGCACTTGCAAAAATAAATACCTAGTTAAGTGATGGATGTCGGTACAATTCTCAGACAAAGCGTTAGAACGGATAGTTTAATTATTCCGTTTCAAAGCTGAGTAAGCACTATTGTACGAAATATAAAAATACAATAAATATAGGGAAATATGACTACTACAATGGACAAAGAACAGTATCACAGTGATTATTTATCAGTTTCCGAACAATTCCAAATTCAGCGAGAAACTGTTGGTATAGATAGTTAGGAGAGACTGCCTAACTTCTGAACGTATATTTTCTTTAAGTTAAACAGGACAATCATCATTTTCAGAAAAACAAGATCCAAAAGATGTCATTGTGACATTTTCACTTCTCCTTTTTAATAATCATTCCAAAACTGTAGAAATTTCGCAAATGTTAAACTGGATATAGAATGAAGAATTTCCTGCCTGACTGCTTAGAATTCGAGAGAACTTCCCTACCTTAACCTTTGAATGATATTCCGTCCTTCACCTCAAAATTCTTCGCAGATTCTTTCAGCTGAACTGAAGACATGATACATTTAAATTCACAAAAGAAAGCGCGTGCTCGAAACTATTATCACCATTAACAACAATTATGAAGAGAAAGACACCATGTTATTTTTTGAAGCCCTTCAAAATTGGATAAATTTGGTTGAATGCATCGTCGATATCTTTTTTATATTTAGCACCTGTTATAACAACCTGAAAGGAACAATTTTCTAATTTCCCTAAGTGTGTGAAAGTCGAAAAATTGATCTACCGCAGTGTAATCGAATAACGAAAAGATGTCTTTAAAAAATATACCAAAGAACTTTTCCAGAATTCATTAGGATTATGTGATTTTCAGGTTTAGAGTTCTTGGAGTCCATTTTTCAATGCAACCTTTTTTTTTCTGTTCATATTTTCGACAAGTAAACTTGATCTTTTGAACCATATAGTTTTTAGACTTACCTTCCCACTAACAAAAATAAGTAATACTACTCGTGGTTTCACCATCCGATAAATCAATCCAGGAAAGAGCTCTGGTTCATATGTAGAAAACTGAGTGTGAGTTAAACATAGACCTTCCAACTGTATGGGAAAGCGCACATCACATGAACCAACCATATTCTGAACCTGAAAAAAATACTAATGTTTTCTAATTACAAATCAAAACCACAAGTATTATATAGATATTTTAAATGAAAATAAATGTCCAAACATTAGTTTACATCTGTAAATGATTCGCGTAATTAATAATTGTCTCTTTATCTGAACTTTATTTCATGCCTAATTTATCACAGCCACTAACTTTAAATTCAGTAAATTTTGCATTGAAACCGAGCTTCTGTACTATTCTGGCGTACTTTCGTGCAGCAAGCCTAAAATTTAAATAAAATTTAAATCGTTAATTAGTGACACATGAAAAGAATTATTGCTCTAATCCAAGAAGAAAAACATAAAATTATTGTACAGAAACAAAATATTATTCTGCAACTACTGTATACCTGCTTGATTCCTCAGATTTTGCTCCCGTACAAACCATTTTTCCTGATGAAAATATCAGAGCAGTTGTGCGAGGTTCACGAATACGCATTATAACAGCGGCAAAACGCTTTGGATTATATTCTGCATTCCTAGCGTGAAGTGCTATTTTTTTCAAATCCAATGGCACACCTATAATCCACGATTGTAAAAATTATGAGTGTTTCCGGAATTTTTAGATCTTTTCCGATCTTAACATTCTCACCCAAGTTAACAGTAGATACTATATTTTGAAGCGCTGGTGATGGGATGTCAATTAACTGTGATCCGGGCGTTTGTGGTGGATTTGTTGAAACCATTGGAATATTTGATGCTGGTTGGAAATGGTCACCGGCAAGAGGTGTCATCGGTACTGCAAGATTTCCCGGACCCACTGAACCTGGATTCATATCCTGAAACAATGGCACTTTCTTACATTTGCTATGAATTATTTTTATTTCTTTTTAATAGAAAACCACCTGGAAAACTGATCCAGGATTTCCACCAACATTTATAACACTCGAAGGTCCACCTCGTTCACCACTGTAGCTCAGCAGGGAGCCTGGGCCACCTTGGCTATTCAGTATTGACCCTGGAATAAGCATAATGCATTTGAAAAAAACATAACAAGAATAAGCAAAATTTTCAAAATAAAACTTAGTTTAATAATTTCAGCAATTATATATATAGTGATATAGTGTATGTATAACTAGCCTGGTCCACCATGTCCCAACATGCTACTGCCAAGTACAGAACTTGGTCCAGCACTTGCAAGTATTGAGCTGGGCCCAGCACAGCCAATATTACTTAGATTAGATGTTGGTCCACTGGCGCTTCCCATCACTATTGACCCTGGTCCAAGCGTTACCGATGAACCGCCGATAATACTAGCCGAGCCTAATATAGAACTAGGCCCTGACCCAGTGAGTATTGATGCTGGGCCAACAGTTTGACCACTACTCGGTGTTTGACCACCAAGTGATGTTATTACTGATGTTGACTGCGATGGACTTCCAAAATGATCCATTGCTTCTCTTGCTTATTATTAAAAATCTGGAAAATGATAAAAGTCTGCTTTTCTTTCATCATACATTTCCACTTTCTCTAAAGTTTTCGCACAAATTTTATAAGTAGCAAATTAACGAATTTAAACTCGGAATGACATCAAAAAAATAAAATCACACTTACGAGGCAGCCTCCATGCATCGATGACAAGAATATATATACTCATATATAAATATATGGACAACTATGCATTTAAAAAAAATGCAAATCTGAATAATCGCTGAAGAGAAATGATATTTTGCGAACAGGCAAAGTTCAAAAGTGGTTGGCTGTAATATTGCCAGGTTGGTTGCACGGTGAAATCAAAGCAAGGCAAGTTCGCAAGGTAGCGGAATGGGGTACCGATCAAATATTCTCTTGGCCTAATAAACTTAATATCTTATTCAATTTTAAAGCTAAGTTCCATCTCGAGAAAAATTTATGAAATATTAATACTTCAACCTTATCATTACAGGGTGAAAAGAAATTAGTGCATTATTATGGAGTTGCTTCCAGACGAAGATTTACAAATTTCAAGTCTAGGAGTTCTTTGCCGTCATGCAGTTCGTCCTCTCGAGATCTGCCATCCCAACCGGGAACGACATTTGACCCCAACGAGTTGCAAATTGTCTCGAAACCTCTCGCTTCTCCATTATCATCGTTTCGAAATGCGAACAAATTGAGCGAGCAGAAATTCACCTGTCAAAGTTGTGTAGTAAAGGTCGAATATGTTACTAGGTGCTAGGCTTTATTATCTATGGTACTACTTTCAGAAATGGACGAATGTGAGGCTATGGACATACTGTTGGAGTCGAAAAGTTTAAGCCATCTAAGGCATGAATTGAACTCTCTTCCAAGCACTTTATTATTACAAATGGCTAATAAATGCTTGGATCATTTTACATTAGCCAACTACGCTGGATTTATTGGTAAAATTTTCTTTTCGTTTTCTGTTTCTCTGAGTAATCTTCGTGCTGAATTAATTAATTAATTAATTAGGAATCGATTCCTGAAATGCACAAATACTTGAAGCTTTCGTTAGCAAACAATAAAAGTATTTGCATAAAATATCTTCAATTCTTAAATAATCTCCTTTCATACTATCCATCTCTTTGAAATCTGTGTTGATCGTAAATTAAGCTATACTCATTTCTAATTCTACAGCTTCAATTGCATTTTACATCCGATATAGAAGCATAGATGAGAGAAAAAAAAGACTTTATTGCTGTATTCTAGGTAAAGTTTCGGTGAAATGAAATTCCTGTAAAGGTTACATGTAAGTTGAGAAAATGATTATAAATGCTATAAGAAAATTTGACTCAAATAATGTATATATTTATGGATTATAATATAGTTGTTATAAAATTTTCGAATGCACTTTAATCCAATAATCTTAGTAAAGTTGAAATTCAATTGTTATCCTACTTCAACGTGTTTAGAGAAGCCAATTTGTGGGAGATATGTGATGGAAGAAGAAATTGATAAAGATTTATCGTTTGGTTGTAATTCTTCATATAAATTTGCTCGGTATGATTGAATTTTGATATAATGGAAACCTGTAATTGAGCAGTAATTTATTTTTAACAGTAATTTTTTTATTGTTCAAGTGATATGAATTAATGATAGTATTAATCATAAAATACTTTAGTTTTATTTTGAATCTCTTCTAATCTCTGAGTAATTATCCCCATTTTACTGCTAATCTTTTTGATATTCAGGCACTAAAATATTTAGAAAAAGATATGCTCATATTTAATCTTATCACTTACAGTTCAAAATTGTGTTTGTGGTTAGCGAAAACAATACTGATCGAAAACTGCTCTCGAATAGAAAATAGTTTTATGAAAGATTCTCTTACATGTCGTTTGATATTGCTGTGGCAAGATTTACTAAAAGAGCCTGCTGTTGAACTAAAAAATATTCTGAATACTTTGGTAAAAGTTTTTTTTCTTTTTAATTATCATCTTTGTTTGTTAAATTATGCATTTTATGATTTTTTAAGAATAAAAGTTGCTATTCTCATAAAATGTAAATTTCAGGAGATTACTTCATTATATAAAAGCAAATGAATTGTGATTTTTTAGGAAGATGTGCAAATTAACTGTGCTTCTGTAGCAGCAGTTACTGAAGCATTGCTCGAAAGGATGTATGCTCATTTATTGTACGATCAGGTCGAGATAGCTGGAATTTATTTAACTGAAGCTTTAACTACCATAGGTCTCGAAATCAAAATAATCGGAGTATTGGGTAAACGTACTAGGTTTCAAGAAAAATTTATACCTCAACTTGTCGCCAGAGTGAGTTTTATCTCTTTAGAAGTTCCAAATGTAATTATTTTATCTGGATCTAAGTTTCATTACATTTTTAAGTTTACGCTAATTAATATTTTTCAGAAAACTTAGTCATTGTTTAATAAGAAGATTGTATTTGTTTATTCGACTTTTATTTCTGTCGAAATATTATTAAGGCTGCAAATTGCGATAATCTCGAGGACGATGACGGATCAGGAAATGACAGCAATCTGCCGCTGAATGTTTTGCTTCATGATGACTCATTGTTAGAAAATGTATATGTTGCTGAAGTAGATGCTTCAACCAGTCCTGCTAAGCTCTCTGCTCTGGGTTTGGCATGTATGCTGGCTTCTGGGGTGCTTGAACGGAAAATTCACAGTATTGAGGATTTATTAATTGAAAAATGTTGCTCTTATCTTGATGAGGTACTTTATTGTGTCATTTATTTTGTAATGTTAAAATGTTTATTAGCTAATGATTTCTTTTGCTGGAATGGAATTTAAAAATAATGAGATTAAAACTGATTCAGATCTAGGCGTTAGTTTCTTATCTTAACAGTTTTTATTCCTTTATTTTATATTTTTTTGGAACGATGCTTTTTTGCAGATCATTGCTCACCGTAAGAATTGGGCGGTGCAAGCTAGTGCTTTATTGCAGCGTTCAGAATTTGAAAAGATTAGCATGCGCCGAGTGGAACGTGCATGCATGCAAATGGAATCATTGTCAAAATTGATTAATGGTGTAGAAAATAAAGAGGTCGCCTAGTTTCAGATTTTGATAATTTAAATGTGGATCCAGTTTGAGTTGCAAGTCAAAACGACTTCATTTTCCATTCAAAATGTTATATTTGATTGCAAAAAATGTTAATTTAAGAGGATCAATTTTGAGTGTTTTCATCTAAAAATACCTACCTGTTTCTTCATTTTAAAATGCATTCTCCAGCATCATATATTTCTTATAGATGAATGCGGATGTTTTAAGAAAACGCTTAAAACTATTACTAGCAAGTGGAATGAAACCATTTTGGTATGTTGATCTCGTTCATGCTGAAATCCTTCGTTCTATCGGATGCACAGCGGTTTGTCTTTTTATGCTTACCGCTGGCACATTTTAAAATTATCAGTGTGTGATCAATTTTATTTTTAGCTTTTGAGACATGGAATTTCTCTTGTTGTAATATGTTTTATAGAACTGCGATGAATCGGCAGATAATTGGGCGAAAAGCAATATATCATTTCTAGGCATCGAATATATTTCTCCCGACCATCAGATTTTTTTTGTAATTTGTGTAAAGTCTGTAATTATAACATTTTCCCGATCATATTTGCAGGAAGCCTTGATAATATTTGAAAAGCAAGAAAATTGGGATAGTGTTATTGATTGTTATCAGTCACTTGGTCAGCTGGAAAAGGCTGAACGGATAGTTCGTGATCTGCTTGCTAAGAATGAGAATGATTCAACTTACTGGTGTCTTTTAGGAGACATACTTCATGAGCCAAATTTATATGAAAAGGCGATTGAGGTAATGAACTTATTATTGTTTTTATTTAAATTTAGAGTTAAGGTGATTCAAAAAAATTTTTACGAGGAATTAAAAAAAAAGTGTTGTCATTCTTTCAAAGGTGCGTCGTTTTTCCTGAAGTACAATTAACGATATCATTAAAATCAGCAATTTCCCGGATAGCTGTAATGAAATGGAAGAATAATCTCAATCGAATTATATTTTTAAAGTTAAGGTTTCGAACGGCCGTTCATTTCGTGCTCACCGATCATTAGGGCTGTTGATGCTTCAGCGCAAACATTACGATATTTCATATCAACATTTGAAACGTAGCCTTGAGCTTCAGCCAATCAATGTACGTTTAATTTGTTCGTATTACTTGGAAGCTGCTAACCAGAAAATATTTTCAAACCAAATCTCAACTGAAGTTTTGGCTCATATTGTGACATTATTTGCGCCTCATTCATTATCATTAGAATAATAAAAAAATTTGGACTCGTTACATACATACTTTAATGTTAACTTGTTCAAGTCATCCACCTGGTTCAATTTTGGCTGTTGTGCGTGGAAGCTCGAAAAATTGAAAGAAGCGGCAAAAGCCTATCAGCAATGTGTACGTTATGAACCTGCTCATTTCCAAGCATGGAACAATCTTGCCGCTGTATATGAAAGATTACATGATCCAGAACGAGCTAAGACTGTTTTAAAGGTTTTGCTTTGTAATTTCCGTATTTTATGAATTTTTTCTCAGATTTTTAAGTAATGCGCAAATCTTATGTTTGATCAACCATTTAATAGTCATCTGGTTCTATTTAGCATAAAAATGATATTTTTAAGATTGTTTGAGATTCGAAAATTCATCATTAGCTTTGAGCAGAGTTTACTAAGAATGGTATTTTTCAAGTTGCTGAGCTGCATTTCATGTTTCACTGCTCATTATCTTGCATTAATTTTATATATATCTCTGCAATAATTCTTCATAAATACCATCTTATAAATCGAGCATTCATAAATCAGGAAATCATTCTGGTTATTTTGATGGACCAAATAAAATTATCTTGATATCATATTTCTGATAATTTCGAAAAGATATTTTTTTCATTTCCACTCATTAATAATTTTCATTTTAGGAAGCTCTGAAACTGAATTTTGAGCATATCAAATTACGAGAAAATTATATGCTTCTCTGCATACGTACGCATGATATTTCATCAGCAATTTCTATGTTTCATGCCATATTAGATTCGGATGGACAATATAGAGACGATATCATAATTGAAGCGCTTACGCAGAAATTAATCACTCTAAGAGAAGTAAAGACTTACTGTTGTTTCTTCCTGTCCCTTTTGTTATACAATAAAATGCTTTGTTTGCGAAGTCGATTATACATTCAAGATGAGTTTTGAGACTTTATTATTTGGATCGGGATTTTCTAAATGTGGAAAAAGGAACTAGGCAAAATGAAAAACAAAAAGAACTAACTAACAGGATATACATCTTAATTTATCAACTCTTTGGATTTTGAAATGCCTGTGAAGTAAAATTTAAAAGTTCTAAAGCTATCATAAAACTCAAGAGTCATTAAGTACCATATTTCATCTTATCGCACCAAGATTTTTCATGTGATTTACTTTCAGAAGAATAGAGAATCTGTGAATCCCTTAACACATGAGATGTGTGAATTATTGGCTAGAATAGTTTCGCAGCAAACTTCTTCGTCATCGGTTTGTTGTTTTTATTCAATTTTCCTATTTTTTTGATTAAATGATAAACATTACTTTTCTTGAGGGATTTTCTAAATGTGGAAAAAGGAACTAGGCAAAATGATTTATTTTGAATGATTTATTTTTTCATTTGAAAAAAATTTTTTTTTTCATAGTTTTGATAACAAAATTCAAGATCTTTTCATAATTTAGATTTGGCATTGTTATGCGGAGTTGAAACGACCTAATTCAGACTCATCCGTGAAAGATCATGATTTTTACGTAAAGTTGCTGGAGCGCGCTTTTAGGATTTGCTATAATAAACAAGTAAATTCCGTACATCATGGTCTTTTATAATAATTTATGACTTCATTTCGTGATATTAATCGACAAATTTTTAGATTCAAATACATAACATTAGTGATAGATACCTTATATTTCTTTTTTCAGGACTGGCATAAAAATATTGACTCATGTATTGGTGTTTTAAATGCAGCCTTGAAGTTGGAAGAATCTAAGAAAGTTTTGTCAGGAATGAAAAATACTGAAAACGCTGCGGTAAGTGATTTGATTGAGAAGAGTTTATATGCTGTTGTCAATTCCAAATATTTATTAGCTGGTAATCACTTCCCATGAAATTGCTTTGGGGATAATAAAACGTTATGAGTCAAAGCCGCTGTTATTCTTGTATTCCTGGAAATGCTTACTGAATATATTTAATTGAACTGCACATAATCATAATAATGGTTATTCCCAAACTCTCCTTTTTTGAATTGGTCTTCTGATGCAAATCAATTTTTTTAATTTGAAATAAATTTTAGGTGAAATCTGAAATTCGATTAACTCTTAAGCCAATTATTACATCCATTGAGAAAATGTATGGTGTGGATGCCATTGAATCTTCGAGTGCATGCTTAAAAGAATGCTTATTGAAAGTGAAGGCATTTTTATCTTCTTGTTTGTGATATCACTGTACAAATTTTTTCCAAAATCTTCTGATGAAAATGTCATTCAAGAAAGAGATCCCACAAATTTACAGAAATAGGCTGTAAAATTTTATAGTTATGTTCAGACTTACTTTGATCCTTTATTTCATCAATAACTACGAGATGTGATATTTAACTCATTAATACAAAGTGTTGTAAGCAATTGAGGTTGATTCTACAAGATTAAAGAAAAATTATCTGTTGTAACAGAGACACTGCTGACACATCACTGAAATAGCCTTTCACAAAATTAATATAAAAAGCAGTAAATAAATGAAAAACATTTTCACTCGTTCTCAGACAGTGTAAACTTTAATTATTCATTTACTTTTTTTCATTGACGTATTTTACTTGAAGCCGGTTTTCTCTGATTTCTCTTTATCATTCTAAGGAAATAGTTTGGGTTTTAATTTCAATAACAAGTTCTTATCGGCGCTTTTTGTTGAACTATGTTATTTCAATTTTTATTGAAATTGCTTTTTGTTAAAATTTGTTATTCAACGAAGTTTAAAATTTGTGATCGGCTACCGTTAGTTAAATTTCGGACAATGTGAGAAACTTCAAAATTTAGAAAATTGTAAAGTTTTCTAAATTTTAGCGTTATTCTCATAATTATTGCCTAATTTTTTCATCCCAGTTATTATTGGATAAGTTTTTTAATTCAAAGATATTTGTTGATAATTGTATGGTTTTCTCTGCTTTTCAGTGAATATTTTTATTACTGATTTCTTTAATCACATGGAAAGTTCATTAAACGTTTTTATACTTATTGACAAAATTGAGACATTTATTCGATCCTTAATTCCTTACTTGTTAAATGGACTAACTCATTTTACTGTACAGCAGATTTCAGGAGATGTATACTGTAGTGTTGGTGACACTAATTCTTTTGAAGCTGTGTCTTTCAAATAGACCTTCTGAATGATCTCTTACTATAATTTAGAACGTAATCGTCATATTCTTTCCATTCAACAGAATAAAGATATAAATTGAAATCCGTTAGAGCATTTCTAGTTTTTGCGCAAACATATTTGGTATTTGCTTCTCACTTTTCTTCAAATGACCGAAGAAGCCTCTTTGTTACCTGATTTTCATTTTTTTATATTACGTTGATGAAGTAGTTTCTTGTATGTCAAAATGATTTTTCTTTCCTAAAAATTGAAAAATTTATAAAACGCGGAGCGCTTGTCAAACAACAGTGGTTAAAATTTTTTAGAGATAAAAATCATTTCATCAGTTGAATAATGTCGTCGAACGAAACAGCAACGACGTCTGCAACAGTAGCAATAACTTCTACAGCTACAGTAGTGTCGGCTTTACCCATCACTGTACAAGCTGCTTCTCATAATTCGCCTGCTTTTGTTAACATGTCCGTCGGTGAGCTACTTCAGAAGCAGCGTCGCTTCGCAGTTGTAACAGTGGTAAGAAAGTTATCAAAGATTTAAAAAATTTCAATTTCCAGTGCTCAGAATTCTGATTTTTAGTTTAATTGATAAATTCGATTTTGAAAAATGTAATAAAAATTTAGCCAACATCAAGAAGTGTAACATCATCACCAGTTGGAATGGGGAATCGATTCCCAATAAAGCCGATATCGCGTCAATCTCTTACGGATAATATGTCACATTCGCCAAATTGTTCGTTAGGTTTGTTTTCAGTTTTTTGCATACATATAATAGGAGTAAAATGATTTAATAATTACCGATACTTCTGATATGATATCAGAGAAATTATATTCATTTCATGTTTTAACTCAATCTAATAGGATTATAGTTTTTCATAGAAATTTTGAAGCGTTATCTCATCAAAAAACATGCCCTCAGAAAATATGAGGTGATGTTTTTTGATGAGATATTTCAAATCAACTCACTTTTGTTGCTATGTGATATTTCAAGATAAGTCATCATATCCTACAACTATTCATTTGTTTTGGTGTGTCAGTTTGTTTCTTAACCATAATGAAAATAAGACAGTAGCAATGTGCGTCACTTTTTTTATTATTGTTGCAACGATTACTTCATTTATAACAAACATTTTGTATTTTAAAAATATCCAACACTGAAATATTTCGAATAAAAAAAAATTAGTCAGTGTTTTTAAAATATTCAATGTATTAAAAAAAACTTTAGCCGTATTCATGATTAGCTATTAAAATAATGATAATATAGTGATTATGAAAATATTTTCTAGACGGATACTTAAAATTATTATTCTTTTACAGGAATAAATGCATCTTCGATTCCAATGAAGAGAACAATTAATGACGCTTTCGAAGGTACACTTTCTATATTTTTTGAAATTTTCAATCAAAAAACAAACTTATCTGTTTATTTTTTCCATATAGTCTTTTAATGTTCAAAAACTTCCAAAATAAGAGCATGAATGTTCGTAAAAGTCGAAATGTTGCATTTCTTTATGTTTAGATCCGACGAAATTAAAGGAAGCCGCAGTAGAAACTTCGCAGCCTAATGTAACACAGAAACCGAGCGTCGCTGAGACAGTTAATGCAGCAGGTACTACTGAGCAGGTATTGATTTATTGCTTCACTAAATCAATTGTTCGCGAAATTTAAACCACGTTTTTGTTTAAAAAGAATTTGTTCTTTTTTCGGAAATTCAATTTCTGCTTTTCAAAGATGAAACTAATAAATCTTTTAGCCTCATCTGGTAGCAACACCAGAATCGACATCGATTCTTGGGTCTTTGCAATTGGATGATCTCATACGGCAAATTGATCCTACCTCAATTCTTGATGATCCTGTAAAAGCTGTGCTTACTGAATTTGTTGACGATTTCGTTGATCAGGTACACTTATAGTATGGAACTTGGTGATTTCTTCGATTTTGTGGATATGAATATTTCTAACTCACAATTTTATTAGATTTTAAAAGTCTTGAGAACGGAGTTTTCCTTTTTTAACTTTTATGGATCTAGAGATTCTAGTAGATTTAATTGGAGATGTTGGACTTTTTAGAGTTTTAAGTTTTTTTAGGTCATTGAACGATCATGTAAGCTCGCTCGTCATCGTGGTTCGGATACGCTAGAGGCTGGAGATATTGATTTCATTTTACGTCGATACTATAATTATCCTTCCCTTCCGAAACAGGAATCAAAAATAAAATCAGAGAGTACAGAGAATGTTCAAAGAAACACCGAAATGGCGGCACATAATCAGCGAATGGCATTAATTAAGAAAATTCTCAAAAAACCTTAAATATTTCATTGTTGATCTTGCCATTATTACGACTTGTTCCTTGCTATTTCATTTTTCATTTCATTTTTGATTATGAGAACACAAGCTTGATTATTTTACAAGCAAAAATGCCTCGGCACTGATTGAATTGAAATTTTCATCCATCGTGTTTTGCTTTTTAAATTTTACGAGGAAATGCCAAGGTATCTCCAAATTCTCGTTTTGTAAAAGCATATGAATTACTGACTGTTCCACTGCTGTTTCTTTTAGATAAAATTCCATCAGTTTATTTTTCAACTGATGTTTGCTATTAGCCGTGAACAGCATCTTTTCAGCGTTAGCACTACAGAAAATTTGGTACTTTTTTAAAATTTATTTCCTTTTTTGTTTTAAAATTTTACTCACTTTTTTGCATTTTAACACTGTCAATGGACATTTTTCGCATTTTTAGTTATTTTATAAGATCTCACATATATAAGAAGTGTTTTTTTTTCACATTCGTGTGGCTTTTTATATGTAGTATGTGGCCTTTTGTTGTGCTTAGGTTTTGAAAATTTTGCTATTTGGTGAATATTCGATGCATTTTGATGGCTTTAAATGTCTATGCTTCCAATTAAACTATTTCACAATTTATGCAAGTTTTTTTTTGTCCAAACCATTCTTTTTTCATTTCAGTTTTAGATCTTTAACTGGTATATGATTATCTGAATTTGTTTGAGCATTATTTCTGACATATCACGAGCGTTGAGAATATATCTGCCTAACCTATTCTGTCACATTCATAAAATGATGATTTTATGTGGATTGTTGAAATGCATAAGTCTCCAAAGTTACACAATTTAAAAGCATTTCCTAACTTTAACATTAAAAATATGTTCTTGGCTAATTCGTTTCCACGTGAATTGAGATTCTTTTTTTTTAGTCATTTGAGGATTATCTTTTTGCGGCTTCATGTGGTGCAAATGAGCTTATAGAATGCTGTTTCTGCGTGTCTGTTTCAACATAATATTTTCTTCCGTTTTTTCCTAAAATTGGTGCTAAATCTGAATGTTTAAAAAAGTTTTAAATTCTCTTCATTATTACATTTGTTTTTGATATAAATTCATTTCATAACTATTAGACTACTGGAATCATAATTAAATTTATCATCGAATTTTTTTTTTTAAATCCTTCTAATATAAATTTGAAAGCTACATATTTGTCATAGCACATGAAGCAAATCACTAAGAACTATTAGTGTAATCGATTATCATAATGTAACAAAGGTGAGTTTGAAGTACAGAAACCTTATCATCCGATATCAGTGTTGTCAATTTCGGATAACAGATGTTGTTCATCTACTCGGTCTTATCACCATTAAAATCTATAACTTATTTTTGGACAATAAAGAAAATAATATATTTTATTCACTGAATTATCAGTTGCATAAGAACTGAAAATAATAAATAGCTTGATGCAGCCATAATTCTGATAATGATGTAAAAAAATATGATAAGCAGATTAATAAGGCCTGTTCATTTGCACTAGGTAACACTAATTAGGTAAGAATAAGTGTTTTCGTTTGACAATACGTAATATAATAGCGATTAATTAAATATTTAAAAAAAAGCGATGATAAATTATTAATTATATGAATCACGGAATGAAATTTCAAAAAAGAGAAAAATAAATCGTGAAACTTGAATAAACAACAAATTTTGACATGCATTTGAAATTTGATAGTGAAAAGAGCAAAGCAGATGCTGTGGAATAATGTTTTATAGGTGGTGCGGCCTTGAACCGGTTTTTAATTTCAAGTGAACCACAACATTGAACATTGATGATGAAATTGATACGGACGATATTGTGTTTGATAGTGCTCTATAGTATGTATTAAATTACTTTGTTTTTTTTTTCCTTTTTTTAGAAAAAAGTTTTATAAATAGCTTACTGTTAACCTCTAACTTATTTTGCATAATTAACCTGTTTTTTACAGATGAATGTCAAACATTAGATTATACACAAATTGATGGAATTATTTCAATGTGATTCAGTAAATTTCACTTTGCTTTCATTGAAGTACAACAATTCAGCATTGATATTTTTCTTTTCATTGATTTTTTTTTTTGTTTTCATTAATTTAAATTCTATTAAAATATTATGATAGCCTTATTTTTGAACTGTGTCTATCGTTAATTTTGTATAAATACTATCGTCACCGTGATATTTTTGTTATAAACTAATGAAATTTTATTTCAGAATGAAGAATGAATTTTGAAAGTTGAAAAGTGAAAATGTATTGGTTTATTTGTGAAATGAATTAAATTTCCAATAAGTCATGCTTGATAATCTGTAAAGATCTTATTCATTCCATTTTCTCGTCAAACAATAATCAAAATGAAAATGATCAAAAACTTTTGGCTAAAAACTTTTGTTGCTTTGCTTATCAATTTTAAAACCTGGGCTGAGTAAGTTTAGTGTTTTCTTTGTGATTATCAAAGAATAATCGTTATACCTTAGCAGAAATAATATGATCCGGTTAAATCCCTTTCTTAAATTATTCACATTTAATTTCATGCTGTCTAATTATTCTTACTCTCTAATTAGATAGAATAAAATTAACTTAGGAATTAGGGAATTAAATAGAGAACTTACATAAACTACTACTACTTTCCTAAATTTCAAAAATATAAAATTTCAAAGAGAGAATATTTGTAAATTTGTTTCCAATGAAAAAATTATACTAAAAATAATAATTGAATTATAAAACTTTTTATATGTAAATGGAACTTTTGATCAAACTTTCAGAAATATTTATTGCACTTATTATCGAAATACAGATGAAATTACATGTGGGTATGTTTTTCTTTTTTTAATTTTTCTTTTTAAACTTCAAAATGATAGAAAAAGTGAAATACATACAATATAAATTTGGCAAGCCATTAAAAAAGAGAAAAAATTTCAAATTGTCAGATGCATTAAATTAATTTGGAAGAGATAAGACTAAATTTTAAATTTATCAATGCGTTATCTGTACAAATAAATCGTTTATGTTTGTATGTTTCGAAACTTTGTTTATAAATTTGATACAAAAATTTTTGTTTTTAGTACTGTCACATGTCAAACGCATGTTCCATTTGGGAGTATCTTAGAAGAGGAAGAAGGATTGGATATGAAATTACCACTTGGTTGGTATCGTATTGGTACGCAACAAATTCGACACGATACATCATGGTTTAATTTATATCGAAGACGTGCTTCCGGTTCAGGATACTGGGATTTTTATACGATGATTCCGGAACGAAATTGTATTGGGTTAAGTCGGCTTCTCTGAAAATTTAAAAGAAAATTTTTTTTCAAATAATTAATAAAATAGAAAAATTCAATAAAATAGATTTGTGATAATAAAACATTTGGAAATATATGCATAAAAGAGCTTTCAGTACTTTTCAAATGTTTATACGATTAGATTGATTTTTATATGTAATTTTTCCATTTTGCATCCTAAGGGAAGTCTTAAATTAAATTTTCAGAAATTTTGGCCTTCATGCAGGTGAGAATTTGCCTGGTTCAGTGACAGTAAAAGATAAGCGCTGTTTCGATCGATTGATTCGGCAGATTGAACGCAAAACGACAACTGAAAAATTTGATGTTTATCAGTGCAGGAAATGTATATTTCATAGTTGTTGGTTAGGTTATCGTTTATTACCTGCCCATCGTGAATATTTGACAAATTTGAGATCAATTTAAGAAGCTAGCAAAATAATGAGTGAATTTTAAATACTGTAATTTGCAATTAATATTTCATTTCACATTTGTCGATAATTTCTCATTAATTCAGCTTAATGTTCCAAGAAAGTTTGTATTCGAACTTATGAGCAAATACATTTCAAAACAAAAGCTCACATAGATATTCTATCTATCAGTAATTTCTCTCTTACAAGTTATTAAATTTATTAACAATTTAACGTAAACGAAAATAAACAATTTTAACTAAACAAATCTATTTGGTGGTAATATTTCTTCAACGTGTATTCCATTCTTGTTTGTATTGCAATAATGCACTGTGTGCCGATTTTGCATTGTTATTATTTTAGCCGATTAGCATTTGATAATTGAAATTAATTAATTTATATTGTCACAATTGAAAAATTGCAATTTAAATGTTTAGGTGGAAATTTTTTGGATCAATCAAATTGTATGTGAACCAGGAATTGTTCATTTTATTATTATAAAATTATGCATTCAAAAATAGATAAAAATGAGCAAAGGAATTGTACAAGACACAGGTGTATGCATTTTAATGACGAAATTGTAATTAAAAAAGAGAAAAAAATCTTTAGGTTTTTACAAAATATATAAATTTAGTAAAATTATAATTTTCAAGCTTAAAAAACTAAGGACCTATTCAATAAATGTTTGAATAGATTTACATTTTCTTAAACCAAATAAAATTGTAATATTTCATAATTTCTACTCAACAGGTCACTTCCACTTAGAACTTCATAGAATTTTGTATAATTTGTCTTCTGATTCCTCTTATTCTAAATATCTTAAATTCAAACTTTACTAAGGTCAATGCGGAAATCTTACAAATAACTTTTGACATTCAACAACACGACATTTAACTTTTGACAAACAATATTTCACAATTTGTTCGAAGCATTTTAAAATTTGTACATTAAACTACAAATTACAATAATTAAAAAATCAAAAAATATATGAATGAAAAAATTTCTCCAAATGTGATATTTGAATTTAAAATCATTTTCATTCGTAAACTTAATCAATGAATAATTTCCGAGAATTATTTCATAATTACGTGAAATAATACCGAGGAATTGCTGCAAACTTCAATCTGCTAACCTTTGGTAGTGAAATTAATTGGGAGAATAATATAATAAGAGCATTTATTAGATTTAAAACTTATAAAATCCCAGTAATGATTAAATTTTGTTCTATTAACGTTAAATAATTATTGTAACATTAGGCTGAATTGAAATTGAACACTGCAAATATTTGTCGCATTTTGCAACTTTGAAATTTACGTCTTCCTTCTTTCTATATGTTAAATTTTCAAAAAACTTTAAATTGTAAACCAACAAATAGCTTAATTCCCAAAATAAATTTGCCTTGCTACTGAAATTTTCAATTTGTAACAATCTCTATTATGATTTTATCGAAAATTAAACAATTCGATAAGTTCATTTCAAAATTCTAAATAAATTTAATTCAGCATTGATGAAATAAACTTCTCAAGCGAATCGTACGTGAGCCACATTGTGAATGCTATGCCACATACAACTATCGTTGCAATCCCGAGTGCCACATAACAATATGATTGTTTTGAACTATTTCGTTTAATATTTCGTGGTGGAACTGATAAGGGCCTCATATCGATTGATTTCTTTGCATGATTGCTACTAAAACTTGAAAATAATTAGTGATATTATTTCACTTATTATAAAATAGTCTATGAATTATTTAAATTCATTAGAAATGGTTTATTCATATTGATAGAGAAATAAAAATTGATTTTTGATTTCAATGGAATGAGGTAAGAATATAAATTGTCACAGTATGAAACAAACGGAAATGAAAAAAATGTGAAGTGATCAAAATTAAGGTCATCTAAAATGTTTCTTTTTTTATTATTGTCCGATAGTGACTACACAATTAAAGACCATTATTCAAATTTCATTCTCATAAAATTAAATATTGTTGCTTGTGATTACTTGCTGGATGTCACAATCAATTAAATGTGATGAATAAACAAATTATCGAAAAAAAGAACTTGGTAAAAACACGATCGCCGGTAATGCTTAAGTTTCGGGTTGGACTGCTAACTCGAGATGTTCTCGGACTCGAAACCAATACAGCCGAGCAGAATGACTTTTTTGATTCCACAATATTTTCCAAATCAGAAGCATTCTCGTCCGACTTTACGCCTTCTTCCGGAAACATATGTTCCAAGGATGGACGACTTGATCTGGTTGTTGATATTGCTAAAAAAGTATTCATGAATTATATATATTTTTATTTCTATAAATTATTTGAATTCAAATAAAAGATGTAGCACAGCTTTAAATTTAAAACGGTTTTATTTGCGAAATTTTTTTTAAAGCTTAAAAATTTTATACTTCTGTTGATTATATTACTGAAGATTTCTTGCTCCCATTCTTCAATTTCAACTTGTTTGCTAAATTTGAAGCATAAATTACTCATATAATGTAAATTTTTCTTTGATAAAAATATTCCAAATAAAACATTTTTGCAATGATTCGCATTAAAATTACATATAGAAAAATAAATATTTAATTTGAAATTGCTAGAGAGGTTACTTAAATACTTTTATTACTTCTAAGAGAGACTAAAAAAAAAAATAAATGATTTACACGTAAATTTCATGTTCGTAAACAGTGAATCAAAAAATATTGTCAACTTTTTTCATAAAATTTAGTTTTAAATTTTATCTGTCAGACAATAAATGGCTGGTGGCAATAAATCGTACAAAAAAGTAGAAAAAAAATTTTCAAAATTCAATTTTATGCATTCAATAAGACAAACTGGACAATTTAAGGCTAAATATGGTGTGAATCATTGTCAGATGTGAAATTTTAATTAAACAAATTTTTTGAAAATTTAAGAAAATGGAAATCTTGTTTCATGATATAGGATAATAAATCTTATCGAAATACTCAAATCATTTGTAAATTCCGGTCCTCGAAATTTTCAACAAATTTTCCATCCAAAAGCTTTTAAATGTTACAGTGTCAGGAAAATAACAGCTAATTTAACTGAATTGGAAATGAAATAAATGAATTAAAAAGTCAAAAATTAATGCAGTTGGATGGATTATTGAACAAACATTGCCAAAATTATTGACTTAAGGAGTGCAAGCTTCGTTTACTGATAGGCCAAAGTGTATTTCTTTTTATAATTAATTCTGATGATTATGCCATTACTTCTATGTTCTTCAATCAATTAAATGATAAATTAGCATTCAACTTGCCAAATAGATACAGCATCGATGACAGTAAAAAAAATCCTGTCAAATAAACATATGTTTAAAAAAATACAATAAATATAATTTAAATCAAATTTTTTATAATAACTTCAAATTTGATTTATTGAAACAATTTATTCATCTTCAAATTTTGAAGTGAAAAATGAGAATTTTCTGAATAAATCTTTTATTTTTGAAAGGAAAAAATTCAATTTTAATAAAGCTAAAAATGAAATAACAGGAAAAGTTAGAAAAAAGAAAAAAGAAAAAAGAACGATTCAATTGCTTTATTTATTGCTCGATAATTAATCCCATCGTTTCGTTTTCTAATGAAGCATCAATGAAATTTGAAATAAGAAATAAATAAATTTTGGAATGAGGAAGTGAAAGACGATAAGATTGTAGTATGAATGAATGATATTTCATTTTTTTTTTTCAAAAATTGTTACTTTGCAAAAAAAATTTCAGAAAAAATGGTCACAAATTTTGTCGAAAAAAATATATCGTTTTTTTTCCGACAGTATTCATATTTTGCTCGATGTTTTAATATTAAAAAAAAACATAATAGCATGTTGTAACAGAATTATCAATTGACAATCGAATCAAACTAATCAATGCTGATCTTTTTACGTGTTTCAATACGTGATGTAATATGTAGATATTTATTTTCCAACTCAATTTAACTATCTCTTTTAGTCATAATTTTTTTATGAATGATCATCATATATATTAGTTGAATGTTTGAAAGTTTTCATTAATTTGAGATTTTGCTAAGAGCAATGATGCCAATATAATAATTATTCAAATTTAAAATTTACTTTTCAAAATGGATCAATAAGATGCTTAATAATCAATCATCAATTTGATTGAAGAAGTGCAGAGGTGAAGAGTTAACGATGCTTTTCAAAAACTAATGATTATTGATAGCTGTAATAATGGCAGCTAAACGTATCTGACGAATTCGATTTTTATTAATTTTTTTTTTCAATTCAAAATATCTTCCTAAAAAAAACCTTTGTTAAATCGATCACATATTGTCTTCTATTTATTGCACATTCAAAAATTGCAAACATCAAAAAACGAAAATGTTCAAATGAACTTTTGTTGCACTCAGGAAATAGGTGAAGAATAAAAAAAAGAAGTAACTGAATGAAATGAAAAAAAATCGGATAGTTGAAAATTTTATTTTGTTTCGTTTTTTCCTCAATATATTTTTTTCAACCCGAAGAATAAACTTCGATAGCAAAAAAAAAAACAAAGCAGGAACAAATAAGTAAGTCGTTTGCTAAGACCAATAAAGTTACTGGATGATAATTTAAAGGAAATTAAAACAAATCAACCTGTTGCAAGTTTTTTTTTAACATAAATAGCCAATTTCGTTCAATTTTTATTCTCATAAAATGAAAATATAATTTTCATAAAAAGATATAATATTAATATACTTCTGTTAAATAAATTTTTGGAAGGAATTGAATTTGATAATAAACATATGTACAAATTAAATGAATCATAAATACATATCGAAATGTATGTATCACTAAAATAATTATTTATGATTTCAAAGTGTTTACGATTTTTACAAACCGTTTACAGTTTGATTTTGCGAAGAAATAAAATTAAGACTCATTTTTCACTTCTATAGAATGGTAATAAAGTTAGAGATCCTAATAATTATACTAACAATTATTAAAAAAAAACAAAAGCTATCATTAAAATGATGCTAAAATCAATGTGGAGTACAAGTATTCTGTGACAGGAACAAGATTTAAAAAAAAATAGCTCAATAAAACTTAATGAAAAGTAGTTTGTCTGTTTCATTCGATCCGTTAATATAACGTCAAAATATATTGGAGCAAGTAAGAAAAAAAGGGATTTAGTAAAATGTCACGTGAACAATTGATTCATTGAAGATTTAATGCAGCAATAAGAATTCTTTCGTGATATTGTTTAACTGTGTGTTGTAAAATTTCCGTCACTACTGTAAATTGATTTTGCAGTGAAAAAGATAATCGGGACGGATATTATTGAAAAAAAAGAAAAAACGAAAATTTGTAAGCTATTTGATTTGACAGTAGCAGTAAAAATAATTCGAATTATTTGCATTATTAAATAAACAATAAATACAGGTGAAAAATTATTTGTGAAATGAAGCGCTCTGCTAAAATCAATAAATTAAAATGACTTTTTAGGAGTAATTTGTTCTGAAATTACAAAATATTTTATATAAAAGTAAAATTAAATTTGCAAAACTTTATGTACAATAGAAGTAAATTGTTCTCATAATTAGTTTTATTAAAGAGTAAGTTGAAAAATAACTTTAATAAAAGTGTTAGATAAGTCATGAAAATGTAAAATTACATTTCAAATGTAAAAGCATATTAATTATTGGTTTATGCATGTTTACATTTGCGCCTCTTCAATTATGTTATAAATTTGGCGGATAGTGATTAGAAAAAGGCATCATTTTTTGTATTTCTTCTGAATGTTTGCAGCAAAAAAATGTGAAATTTATCACGAAACATGTCTTCGTTTAAACGGACAACAATTAGAAGCTTAAATGCAGACAAATGCATACCACAAATGAATGAATAACAAACTAACAAAGTATGCTTCAAATTTCAAATAGTAATTTTGTACTGAATCATTTTTTTAATAACTCTAATTCACATACTCTTTTTTTAATTGAAATGATTTTATGCGAGTCTTATAGAGTTTCATCTATGGTGCAGCTAATTAAGGCTATGTTGTGATAATGTGTTGCAAAGCATAATAATCTGATTTTGATCTCATTTTTAATCTGTTCAATTGTTAATAACAATTAACAAAACAAGATAATAATTCGATTTCAGCATAAATCCACCTCGCTAATCATTTCAGACAAATCTAATATTTATATATATTTTGTCAAATATTTTCAAAAGTTGTTAAAAAAAAAATGCTTTATTTGATTAAAATTAGTTTTTTCTTCCAAAAATTAAGTTTAAAACGAATGTGCTTTCAAGCAATTCAAAGAGAAATGATCGCCTGGAAATCCTATCTTGGAAAATATTACTTTGAGTGTTAAGACTAAATAAATTTTAAAATTACTTCGCTATGTAAACATTAAATATGAATTACGAATTATAAAATTATAGACTAGTTTCGAAATAAATTTAAGATGATAGGATTCAAATATACCAAAAAAGAAATGAAAAATATCGATGTGAAATATAGGAAAAATTAAGTTAAATAAATTAAATAAGA